TGTCGTAAACGACACCATTAATTCGACTGGGTCTCCCCCCCATATTCTTAAATGTAATGTTTGCAGGAATGGTCGTTTCGATCGGAATGTTTAGTGCTTCGAATAAACGTAGCGACATTAGATTCACTTCGGCTCCGGAATCTAATAGTGCAACGATCAAGTTCGAGTACTGGTTGATTTTAACGATCGCGTGCAGGCTGATTCCACTTAGAGTCGGGGTCTTATAATGTTCCGTTGCGATTTGTCGAAACATCATCACTTCTCCTTCATCCATCTCTTCAGACTGAATGTTGTACACGTTTTTGAGGTACTGCTGAGGGCGTGCTGAATGTTGAATGGCGTTCACGTTGAACGACATTTGGGCAACTCGTTCGTCACGGGCTTTCTTCTGCTTTTCTCGATCACTTTGTTTCTTGATTCTTTCTTCATACTGGTCGATTGGTACACGGTGTTGTTGTAGATCGGATGCAACGGATTTTCGAAATTCGGGACTGAGAGTCATCAGTTCCGGGAAGGTGATGCCAATATTGACATTCTTGTAAAGTCTGCATTTGATCGCGTCAACGGGATGATTGCCTTGGTCTGCAATGTCGGGATAAAACTTGAACTTCGGCTGTCTTCGCTTGGGTCGTTCTTCATCCGTATCGGTCTCAGTATCAGTTTCCATCGGCGTAACAGGTCGATCGTCAGTTGGCCGGTCTCCAATCGGACGGCATTTCTTTTTCTCTCCTGGTTTCAGGATATCTCTTCCAGCGAATTTCTCGGTTGGCTCGGGTGGGTAATTTTCTCTTTCGGACGGTGTCATCTGCATCTTCCGTATCGGTTCCAGCTCTGGCGGGTGCTTGTCCACTTTGGGGTCGGTTTCCGTCAGCTGGATCAGCAACAGCAGGTCGCTTCGGATCGCGGGCTTGGGCAATAGTCGTATCGAAATGAATGGGATCGTCCCAGTTCGTAATGTTCCAAATCGTATAGGTCAAGTCTTCTGCATGTTCTTCAAGATAATCTCGGATTTCGGATGAGCGTTCGGAGGTTTCACGGGTCTTTTTCTTGCCGTCATTTCGCAGCATAAACGAATTGATTGAATGACTGTAGGATCTTTGATTGGCGGAAGTGTTGCGATTGCGAAGTACGGCGGCTTTGGCATCTTCGAAAACTTTCTTAATCCCTCCTCGTCCGATGTTCAAAGGGATTTCTTGTCCGGGTACTCCAATGGTCGTATTGTGAGGGTACGCAATTCGTCCTTGTCCGTTAAGAACTAGTTCTTCTCAGTTCTGAACCTCAGAAAAGTCTCTGCAAAATCTGCGCTGGTGTCCTTCTTGATCACAATAAACACATCGCAAGGGTCGAACATTCGCATTGCCGGTACTCGTTGAGCTACTGCCTTGCGAATCGTTCGCAGGCGGAAGTCGGGTCGCAGGAGTCAAGCTCTGCAGGATTCGGTTCTGGCTAGTCTGCAACTGGGCCATTCGTTCGGTCATTTTGCGTACTGCTCGGTCAAGTTTACTCTCGGTCTGCAATACTTGTCCTTGTACGAAGTTCAGCTGGTCACTAACGGTCGGGTTGGTAATACCGGGGATCGTAAGAATCGGTTTCTGAACTGTCATAGATCGCGCGTCGGAATCGGGTTGCTTGATAACTGTCGTAAGTTGAGAAAGCGCAGCAACTAGTTGCTTCGGTGATGGCTTCCATAACTCGGCTAACGGAGGGTAACTGAGTTGGTCGCAAGTGGGTTCCACGTTCAGCAGCGAGTCTTCTGGCTTGTTGGAGAACTCGTTTGTCGAAGCCGGGTTCGTCTTTCCACGGGATCAGAAGCAAATTGATCTTTTCTTTGTCAGCGACCCCATCGATTCTTGCATATCCATAGGCCATTTCGTTGATAAATTCTGCAACGTTGGCAGTGTTCCGTTTGACATGGTCTCGTTGACTGAGAGCCCATTGTTCGAGGTTGTTGAAAGTATGGCGAGTTTGAAAGGAATCAAAGTTCAATATCACCTCTTCAGTAAACGTCACCCAAGTTGGTTCTTCTCTCCATCGAGTATATTTGGTTATGTCAAGCGATTGGAAACTAGGCATACTACAAAGCAGCGGTCGAAGGCTTGGTTGCGAATACTGGATGAATGTCTGCATACATCGTTTGTGTTTCAATTCCACGATTTGTCGCTCCTCCTGATTAGCAATAGCAGGATCTCGCGGGTTGTACGGACTGCGAAGTGTGGTGTGCAGAGGGTTGAGGATGATGCTCGGGTACTGGGCGTCAGGTTCATATCCAGCGTCGTTAAGTTGAGCATAGAATAGGTCGAGTTTCTCTTGTACATCTCGTCCATCGAACTCTATAGCTCCAGGTTGTCCTATCATAGGTAAACCTTTTGAACTAGCAACTCAAAGTAGCATAGCGAACTGGTTGGCAGTCACAGGAAACATCGGGTTGTTTGCCCCATAGTCAGGAGGCGGGTTAGGCGGATTGTTCAGGTTCGGGTTGGGATCTGGATTCGGGTCAGGATTCGAATTATCGGGCGGCGGATTAGCGTCTGCCATTTTGTCAAGAAAGTTGCTATTACTTGAAAAATGCGAAGATGTCTAAAATAGACGGTCGAAGATTGTCTCTAAAAAGGAGTCGGTTGTCGGAGTACGAAAGTGCTGACGTCAAAGAATGGCGCAGCAGAATGTACGTGTGAAAACGCGCTTTTGCATGTCGAAACAAGGGGTAGGCTGTCGAAAAGTCGGGCGGCGATGCGCTGTCGAGCTGTCAAAAAGCAGCTGTTTTTGGTAGATAGCGAGTCGAATAACTAGCGTATCGATTTTCGTCGGTTTTTGTTGTACGGTAGGTACAAAGTCTATACGGATAAGCAGGTTTAAAGGATGTCTGAGCGATAGAATCTCTTTTCGTCGAAGAAAAGGACTCCTGGTAGGATCGCCAGTAAATGTGGTGGTGGCCGGCAGAAGCGAGGGTCTGTCAAATACGGGGTTACGGTCGGGTGTCGGGAAAAATAAGCTGCTGGTCTCTCAATAGCACAAGAAGAGATCTCAAGCGAGAGCGTTGTCTTGCCACCTTAATATCCAGGTGCTTTGAAAGGAGTCCTTCTTCTAATACGGGGTCAGGAATTACGGGCACGGGCACAAAATACGGAATCGGAATATCTGCGGGTTTGACTACAAAACAAAACAACGGGGTTATCCAGTCTCACTCTCAGCTCTTATTACGAGATTCCTGAACTATCAAGTCCTCGGCGACGTCAGCAAAGTACAAGTCACGACACTCGGGGTCGTCTTGTCCTCTCCGGGTCTATGAGCGCGCCTTGAAAGTCTATCAGAAACTGAAAGAAGTCGTCGGGAGTAGAGAAGTAGAAAGCTCTGTTGTTGATCGGGATCTGTGTTCTGCGTATCGTACAAAGGTCTGGGGAAAACAGGCGGGTTTTTATCTGGATTTTTCTAGGCTACGGGATTTTGTCGAAGTCCAAACTCTCTACTAGTCTTCTCTAGAGGATTTAGCTACGTTGGGGTCTTTTTCTCTTTTCCTGCGGCGGTCTACGTAGTTTTTCCTTTTTCCATTTGCAATTTTGGCGCTGATACAGCCTTATTGCTAATCTTTTCTCGGGGTTTTCTGCAACGTTCGGCGTATACGGCCACCGGAAATTGGTTTTCTCGTTTTGCAGGTGATTTCTTCAGCGTTTCGGGCATCGTTGGAGCTTCTGGTTGGTTGAGAGTCGGGTCGGGGGTGCTTTCATGTGTGACATCCTCTCCTACGCCTACATTTTTCGCATGTCAGTCGTATCCGAGGACAAAACATCGTTGAGAAGCAAGGTTTTGCTAAAGATAGTTGTATTTGGTGATCGTCGGAGTGTCGGGAACGCAAGTGTGTCAATTTATTGTCGGAAGTTTTGACGGTATTTTGACGTTGTTGTATAAAGGTGATTTCATTCGCTCGTCGAAGATTCTAGGCGTATAATCAGCGTCGAAATATTATCGATTTCATGCGCAGTTTGAAGCGCAATACTACAACGTCCCCCTGGCATATCCCGAGTGCTTGACGCCACGACAAAGCCCGGCGGCGTGCATTGTGCCCCTTGAAGCCTTCCATCGAACCAGAGTGGGCCGGGATCCACAGGACTCGACGATGAGCCGCAGCCGCAGGTCATGTTCGCGACGACCCGCGCTATTGTACGAGATTGTGGCCACAAGGGCGCCGTGCTCGTCGCGGATGTAGATGTCCGCCCCCCCCCCCCCCCCCCCCCCCCCCGGGGTTCAATTCGCTCAAGCCCATCCAGGCCCCTCGCCTTCTCCGGCCTCTTCCTAAACCCCGCATAGACCATCTTGCCCTGCCAGCCATCGCACGAGGCGGGCGTTGGCACCACGATGTGAACAGCCGGGCGGCTACCGAGGGCCGGGGGTCGACGGACAAGTTGGCCGCGGTAAGACCGCCATCGGTGATCGCAGCGATGATGTCGGACTGGAGCCCAATGTGGTGCTTGGCGCGCTTCTTGTGGGGAAGGGACCGCATTGGCCTATTGGTCCACCAGCCCCAAAGGGTGGAATTGTCTTGCTTGATCTTCTTTGAAAAAAGGCCAATGGCCTTGCCCTTGTCTTCTAGGCTAGCGTCCCGGGCGGCAAGGCCGGAGCCTACCAGCAGCGGATACAAAAAGGCCACCGTGTCGCCGAAGATAGCTGTGGCGCGGCCCTCGCCCATGCCCATCAGAAGAGCCTTGACCGTGGTGGGGGGCGACGGGGGCGTGGCCTGCAGCGCGGTGGAGGGGAAGGGGAGGGGGAAGGTGTTAGCGGCTCAGGCCGCGCGATCGCAATCACCGACGCGGCACAGCAGCATGCCCAGGCAGCGCATCCCATACCGGTCGACCCCCCACAAGCGGCGGTCGTGCTCAAGATCAGCGCACAGCAGCATGCCCAGACAGCGCACCCCATGACGGTTGACCTCCCGCAAGCGGCGGTCGTGCTCAACATGGGCTGCGGGATCGGCGCATGGCAAACACGTCCAGACAGCGCACCCCATGCCGGTCAACCTCCCGCAAGCGGCGGTTGTGCTCAGCATGGACTGCAAGCCCAGGCGGTCAACACCCGGCAGAGACGCCCACGGCTACACAGCAGCCACTCACCTCGTCAGCGCTGAGCATTCTCGGAGCGTGCTCTGTGTGAGTTGCCGGGCTTGAGCTGGAAGGAAGTAGGCGCCGGCCGGGGGGTACAAAGCCACAGGCGGCCCCGAGGCCTCAAAGCTGCTCGACGAAACCATGCACCTATTCAGAAAGCTCGCGCTCAAAGGCCAATGGCGGGAAAGGGGGCAAGAAGGCGATCAGGCAAAACGTGGCAACTTTGGGGAAGGCAGCGGACCGCATATGAGAAGGCTACAGGGGCGTCGCAGACGACACTTACGCGCATGCAGGAAGCGGCAAAGCAGGTATGAGTGGGGTGAGTGGACGTTGCCGCAGTGCTGCGCTAACGCGGGGTATCTGCGCAGGGGAGACGAGAGGCAAAACGACGGGCACCCAAACCCAAGCTGGCCGCACCGAAACTGGCCAAACGGGAGGAGTACTTGCTCGACAACACCGAGGCGCGCGAGCACTGGCAGGTGGCGCCGCTGACGAGCATCGGATACTATGCAAAGGGTGTCCCAAAGTCATGGGCGGAGGTGGAGAGGGGGAAGGGCCTGCCGAAGCCTGCCTCAGTGGTGCCCTATGCGCGCGCCACCGGCCACGGCGAGATGCCCGGCTTCTGGACCAGCCGCCACAGGCTGTGATGGACGAGTGCGCACGCCTGGCCCGGTATGGCGATGTCGGCCCCTTCACTCTGCCGCCGACCGTGCTTGGCCTCTACCCAAACCTGAAGGAGGCGGGGAGCGGGTGGATGGGCGCGCCTGACATGGCCAGCCGAGTGGGGAACATGGGCGGCAGGCCGAAGAGCGCAAGCAATTGGCTGTCGCTGACCACGATATACACGTACGTCGACACCCTGGCGAAGTCGGCGGCCGTGACCCGGAGGGAGACAGGGCAACCCCTACGACGCATGTGGACGGCGAGGCGCTGCTGATTGGGGAGGGGTGTTTGGCTCCCGCATACATTCACCCGGTAAGTGCCGTACATTCTCGGGGCACTGCCGCACATCCCGCGCTAACGAGCCCCCTCCACAGTAGCAGCAGAACACGACGTCGCGCACTTCATCCTCCACAGAAACCGCAACTATTTCGCCTCGTACTGGTATGGCCGGACGGATGGCCGGCATTACTTTTACGACTCCATGTTTGGCAAGCGATCGGGGAAAATGAACGCGGCCGTATGGACCGAGGACATTCGCTGGCGCATCGTGGGCAGGGTGCGGTACATGATCCACTGTGGGTTTATGCCGGCAGGTGGGCCCACGTCCCCCCCCATCTATGTGTCGCACCCCCGCCAGCAGGACATGGACTCGTGCGGGGTTCTGTTGTGCTGCATGGCCAGCTGGATTATTCACGGCACGGTGGGGGAGCGCAATGCAAAGGAGGCGCTTGTGCTCCCGGCCACGTATTCCACCAGTCAGGTCAACGTTGCGCGCTGGACGATCATGTGGACCATTCTGCACGGGAAAGCCTTGAACATCACGGCCGTGGGCAAGGATCGAGCGGTAAGACCGCGCGCCCCTGTTGTTGATGGATGGCAAATGCTAACCCCCCCCCCCCCCCCCCGCCCCTGCTGACAGGGCACGGAAGGCTGGGCAGCCCCTATGGGCGACGTGACCAGCTGGGTGGCCGGTGACGGAAACCACCGGCGGCCACAAGTGCAGCGACCTGCGCGGCAGAGGTGAAAACCGCAGAAGCCGTGGCAGGGAGCGCTGGCGGCAGGGAGCCGTCGGTCAAAGTGGTCGGCGGTGATGGTTGAGAGCTCGCCGTCCATCAAGGAAAGAAGAGGGAGAGGGATCCGTCGGCGGAGGCGGTGAGCGCGAAGAGGGTGTAGACGGGAAAGGGCGGCTGGGCAATAGCGTGACATATCCCACGCTATCGCGGCCACCATATTTAATACGGCACCGCTGAGTCACCCACGGATGCGCCACATTGATTTGTATGAAACGATTAATGAAGCTATTCTGAAACGATAGCTTGCCGCCGCAAGATTTTTACTATGTAACAGATTTGCGAGGCGGTAAACGCTGTATTCTAAATTGAATCGAGACCCTAACCCTAACCCTAACCCTAACCCTAACCCTACTTTGTAAACGTTGTATTCTCACTTGAATCAGGACTCTAACCATAACCCTAACCCTAAATTGAATCAAGAAACTCAGAGGGTCCGAGAGAGCGTCCGAGAGAGCGTTCCATCACGTGGGTTTCATCACGTGAGCGTTGCGCAGGCTTTAATAAGTCTGATCAGCGCGTTCCCACGTTAATTTCGATTTACGACATCTCCGAAACGGTGTGGATTGGATCCCTCGATTTTGAAGAGGGTGCTGGTGCATGTCAAGCGAGCGGGTAGTGCACCTCGCCCGAAAACGCCAGCGAACTTCCAGCGATTAGCCAACGACAAATGAGCTTCTCTAACCCTGCCCCAACCGGCCTCCTGCTCGCCTCCGACATTCCGAAAATTACCCACACAACGCCAACCGTCCACTTCACGTCCCTACAAAACGGCCGCTGGCTGACACTGGAGGAGGCGTCCTTTATCGATCCGTCGGGGGCAGAGCGTAAATGGGAGCTGTGTGAACGCGTACCGCAGGAGGCGAGGAAGAGAAGGGAGGATGATGTTGACGGTATGTGGAATTGAGACTGGGCGGGCAACAGGGTGATATGGCGTCGAGGCAAGACCTCACTCTGTGTGGCACTTCAGCGGTGGATATCGTAGCTGTCATTCGAGCCAGTTCCAAAGCGAAGTTTCCGTCGGAAGATGCGATTTTGCTGGTGCTGCAGTTCCGCCCGCCGACAAAATCATGGACGCTGGAGTTCCCGTCTGGTAAAGTTCGCCAGAATCCGGCTACTTGAGTACCGCACGGCATCCATCAACACTCTGGATGTGTCTCCTGCATCAGGTCTAGTCGACGCAAAGGAATCCGTCGAAACAGCAGCTCTCCGCGAACTCTCAGAAGAGACAGGATTTGTGGGCACGATATCAAGCGTAGGCCCACCGATCACGTACGAGCCCGGAATTACGAGCAGCTGTTCGAGGATGGTTCATGTCACGGTAGTTGCATACCTGCCTCTCCTGGGAACCTCTTATCTGGCTCAGTTCGTGACCGAAGCCCTAATTTCCAACTCAGATCAATGCGGAGGAGAACCAGGATCCGAAACCGAAACAGGAAGATGATGAGTGGAGTTTGCATCCCTGTGTATTTCCGTTGAAAAACCTCCTTGGGGTGTTGCATGGTATGGCAGGGCTATGCTTGGAGTCAGCGGAGTGAAGGGAACATCGACCAACGCCACACCGTCCTTCTTCCGCAGAAGTGCAGGAGCGATGCAAGCACTTGAAGGTCGATTCGCGGCTGTACTCATTCGCCTCGGGATTGAGTCTTGCGACGTCGTAGGGCGGTGTTGATGAGGACAATCGAAAGCCGTACTGTAGGTCAATGTGGCTGATGAAATGACGTTACCCACTGGCGAGTCTTTCCGCCTTATTCGACAAGTGTGATCCAGGTTTGGTTTGCTCAAGAAGTCTGACACCTTTAGTTTCAGGCAGTGTCGGGTACAAAGTAGATAACGCTAAATTAACTTAGGCGGAGATGACCTTCAGTAGCAGCCTGCAACAACCGAGCAAATAGGAGACTAGGCGAATTGGCGGCGAGGCGATGCCAACATGGTGCAACAGTAATCAAACATCACCACATCTGTATTGGAGGGCACTGCGATTACTACTCGAGCCTACATAGATAGAATTTGAATCATGAATGTGGAAGTGCAGCAACAAATTGGTTCTGAGTTACATGGAGATGAGTGAAGGTGTGACTTGTGGGTGTTATGGCTGCAAAACTGTTCTACCTACACATTGCACAACACGTTTGGGACATGGGAAGGCGCTCCATGCGGGCATTCCGAAAAAGCTGAGCTGCTCATGTGCCCATTGTGGTTCCATATGTTCTCCCATACCCTGCTCTTCCATCCCGTTCTGCTCTAACCGACGCCAACCAAAGTTGACAAGTCCCAACCCGATGGTCACTCATTGCTTGGCCTCAGCAGCATCAGCAGCAGCAGGCGCCTCGGTAACGACGCCCTTCTCGCGCAACAGACTGTCGAGCTCGCCGCTTTGGTGCATGTTGATGAGGATGTCGCAGCCACCAACGAACTCGCCTTTTACGAACACTTGTGGGATGGTTGGCCATGAGCTTGGGGGATTAAAGAGAGAGATTGAGTTGGTCGTACGCGGGTATCCGAGCCATTGAACAGATCATCGAGTTCCATCCCGCGCGATGCCTATTCCCCCATCCTCCAACGAAAGGGCCTGCTGCAACGCTCACTCAAGTGAGCCACATCCAAAATCGTCCTGATCTCCACTTCACTTCCTCCTTCCCGAAAACCCAACCCATTCCTCCCTTCCTTCCCAACATCCAATACCCATCATTACTCCATCACGCAAGCAAGGAAAACTCACGTGTATTCCTTGATCCCAGACCGAACCTCCTCGTCAGCAAGCACGTTAACAGTCTTGAAGTCCTTGACGCCCTGGAGCTGCAAAATCTGCACAACGGCCCGGCTGAATCCGCACTGTGGAGCGTCCTTGTTGCCCTTCATGAACACCAGCACTTCGTGATCTTTGACTGCCTACGGAAGTGGAAAGTGTGAGACAAGGCTGGGAACTCAAACGCACGCAGCACGAGGTTCGTTATGCTACTCTGCATTCACAAGACCGCTAACTGAGGAAGCGCAAACTTCGGGCAGCGAACAAAGACGATATCGGAACATACCTGGTCGATCTTCCCCTTGAGCGAGTCCGACAGGTTGCGACTCCAGACCGTTTGGAAAGCGGGCGCGACGGTTCTGGAGGCAGCGACCGTCGCCATGAGAGGCCTACGGGCGAGCAGGGACGACGAGGACCGGAGCAGGCGGGCTGTTATTGCCGACATGTTGTTTGGACTTTGCGTGGTGCAATTCAGGACGAAAGTACCGGTAGAGTGGAGAATTACTCAGCTGCGTTCCGAGGTCGTTCTCACGAGTTCTCACGCGATGCTCGCCGTGTCGGAATTGGGATTTTCAACGGGGAGATTGAGGCAACATCTTGGAGACATCAGCGACAGGCACATCGCTCAACAGTCCATAACACTTTATTACCGGGGGTTACCGGAGGGAGCAACTGCCATGTCGAGCGACCCGCCGCCACGGAAGCGGCCGAGGACCAACACGGTGGACATGGACTGGGCAGCCACAGTCCCACCACCGACCATAGTGAAACCGACGGAGGGACTCGAAGGAGAGGCCTTGAAGGAGGCGCCCAGCGTGCTAGTGCTTGCAACCGCGGCGGACGCGGATGGTGGAGACAACTTTCTGGAGACTATCCCGGTGGACTTCGCAAATGTAAGAGTCGGGGCTCGAAGAATTATTGTTCCCACTACCTGCTGAGCCTCGTTGGATATCAGGCGTACAAACGTGGGTCGGAACTCATTTCACAAATCATCAACGAAGGAGCAGTTCCAACCGCACGTAAGTTACAGATTCTATTTCTATGTTCCAGCCGAAGTCGTCGCTAACTGGTCTCTGCAGCGAAGGGCGTAGATCTGGTCGGAGCAGCACGAGCCTTGCAGCTCCAACTGTCTGCCCTCTATTCAGGTGCGATTCTCGAAAGTGTGAATCAAGAGAGCACACAGCGATTCTCATGGAGGAACAGATCTGGTAGAGGAGCAGCACGACCGTATCATCACGCAACGCATCAAGGACTTTGAACACAATCGAAGCGTATGTAGCGTGGAACGCTTTGCTGTTGAAAAAGGGACGGATTTCACGAACGATACTCGCTTCTTTCTAGTCCCATCCGCCGAATGTTGAACGGGAGTGGCATTGGACACAGTTTTCGAATCTCGTGGAGAGTCTTGTGCAGCTGACACGACAGTTCATCGATGGACTGCGTCATCTAGGATCCCAGTGCGTACTGCGCGTTCTTGGCCGATTGCGTGATGGTTTAGTAACTCTACATGCAGCTGTTCGCACGCTGAGAGCCAGCTGAGAGATATCTTGGAAGGGAATCTGCGACTCGCCTTGACAGAATCGTGGTTCACAGAACTCGACTGGGCGTTCGAACATAGTTTCCAACTCTACCTGGAGAGTTTGGATTCCGACGAGGATGGTACGCGATGATGAAAGAGTGTTAGGGATATCACATCACATAACAGCGTGCCTTGCTGACGCCATATCTGATGTAGAGATGCTGCCACAAATCGCTGCAAACAACCGCCAAGTCACGACACTCTTAGCTAACCTCAAAGAGCTCGGATTCCAAGCCGAAATCAATTCCGCCATCCTGGCGACTACCCGGAAATGCATAAAGCGCCGGGTGGATGAATGTTCTCGCCAATACGACGAACCGCAACTGGACGCTGCTGTCCAATGGGTCGATGACCACGTCACGAACGGCTGGCTACGGTCAATTTCCGAGAACGCTGACATAACGAGCATCGGCGGTCGAGCTGACTGGGCTAGCGTATTTGAGCAAGCTACCCATCAGTATTTCTGCCAGTTGCGCATATCCGAGATCTTCGAGATAATCTGCGAAGCGATTGATGAGTTCCCCGAAGATGCCTTGAAGGATCTCCGCCGCTGCTTGACGACTACCGTCGAGAACGAACAGCTTGAACGAACGTTGCATGAGGCGATCGAAGATCGGGCGCTGCATCCGGGAGTCTGCACTGATAACATCATCAACGTGCTGATTGCGACGGAAATGTGCTTAAAAGTGCTCGATCCGACGTCGTCGTTGCTGTTGAAGACGATCAGTCCGATGATGAAGTATCTTCGGCAGCGCACGGATACGGTCAAGCTTCTGTTGGCGAGAATGCTTGATGAGGAGGGGAGTCTGGCGGAGGCTATCAGGCATGGAGATAAGAATATTGCTGATGATGAGATGGACGATGATTATGAGGCTTGGGTGCCGGAGCCGGTTGACGCTGGTACCGTGCCCTTGTCGGAAGCATGCTATATGCACTTCGTTTGTAAAGCTCAAGCATTGCTCTTTTGCTTCTAGTTGGCAGTCGTCAGGAACGTAACGCCGATATCATCACCCGAATCATCAAAAGCTTTGACGACCAAGACGCGTTTGTGGAGGAGTACCATAACCTCCTCTACGATCACCTGATTCACAACGGCAGCTTCAACACTGACAAAGAGGTCAGTGAATCCTTCTCCGGCGCTCAGTCACTCAGTGGCACATAATTGATTCGGTTTACGTTCACTAGACATTGGAGATCGAGTTGTTGAAGACCCGATTCGGCGAGGACAGCTTCCACGATTGTGAAGTTATGCTGATGGATATGGCCAACTCGCGGAGATTGCACAATCATTTTATCGAGAAAGTCGTGAGGTTTCCTGAGATTGTGAGTTTACAAACAGCCGCACATCACGGTTTGGCATCGTTATGAAACGGATATTCATTGGTTTCTGCAGGACACATTCCAAGCTATTGTCGGATCGCACCTATTTTGGCCGGAGATAGAAGAGACTGCTTTCAAGATTCCTTGGACTGAAATCGCTCGGTAAGCAGTTACTGCGGTTTGTTTTTCGACAATGCATGCATAGGGAGTGTTTAGCAAAATCCTCTGCACACCCCTTATTCCAGGTCACAATCAGTCTACGAATCAGTCTACAGCCAACAAAAGCAAAACCGCCACCTCGACTGGAAACACAACGCCGGCCAAGTCCAGCTCGAGCTCGAGATGGCCGACGGCCGCATCCGATCCGTCTCCGTCACCGAGCTGCAAGCCGCTGTCGTCCACTTCTTCTCCGACCTACCGGAATCGGGGTCCGCTGGCGTGGCGGAGGTTTTGGAGGCACTGAGGACGCCGGAGAGTAAGCCGACGCTGGGACGACAGGTTTTGGAGTGTGTGCAGTTTTGGTGTCAGCAGGGGGTTTTGGCGCCTGTGGATGAGACGCAGACGCGGTGGAAGGTGGTTGAGGATCCGGATGAGTATGATGATGATGGTAATGTGTCTGTTCCCACTGCCCTTACTGTTCTTTCGTTTGGGCATCACGTTGGTATTCATGTCTTATCATGTGACGTCTCACCAATCCTCCCTCACACTCCACAGACGGCACCCTACAAGCACCCACCACACACCCCACAGAAGCCCTCGAAGCCCACCAAGCCCAGCACGCCGCTCTACGCGCCAAAACACAACCAGCCATCACCGCCCTGCTAACTAACCAAGGCGCCGCGCCCATAGAAAAGGTGCACACTCTACTGCAGATGTTTATCGGGATCAGCGAGTCGGTGGCGGATGTGGGTAGGGTGTTGGATGAGCTTGTTGCGGAGGGTGTGCTGGCATTGGGGGCGGGGGGGAAGTATGGGATGCGGACGTGATGTGGTGTGGAGGTTTTTCGGGGCGTTAGCCTGGCGTATGCGGCAGTGGATGAGACCCCGGCGCATCTACTAAAGAACGAGTCTACATATAGCGCACATCTGTTAGAAGGATGTAGGGTTATTTGTGTGGTTTGATACCATTGGTTTGTACATCCTCATTGTTTACTCTGATCCATGTCCGCGACGTCCGTGTCCCCCCACGTGACCGCATATTCCCTATTCCTTCTTACCTTCCCGCTGCCCTCTGATTCCTTCTTACCTTCCTACCACATCTGCGCCTGGAATAGGGGCAGTCTCGCGGTACGCTCTCTCGCCTTCCGCAATCGCTTGGGGCAGCTTACCTCATAAACAAACACATCTCCTAACAGTGTTTTCACAATGGTGGACAGTACTTTTTCCTTAGGGTCCGCGCACTAGAGGCGCGAACCGGACTTTTTCTTCAGGGTCCTTTCGAACGGGTATAAAAGCAAACCAGTACTGACATTCCCTCGCAGGCATGCGCCATCGCCCGAGACAGCTCGGAATAGGAGCAGCCTCGCGATACGCTACCTTCTTGACTCGCGATCGCCCGAGACAGCTCGGAATAGGAGCAGCCTCGCGATTCGTTTGCCATTCTACGTCTGCCATTCTACGTCTGCCATTCTACGTCACAAACCCACTCCCATGCTCCCGCGATGACCTATGTACTCCGCCCCAACTAAGTCACATACTCCATTCACCAGGCAAATCACCATGACAGCATCAACGTCAAAGCCCCGTTCCGCAATCGCTTGGGGCAGCCCGGAATAGGGGCAGTCTCGCGATTCGCTTCACTCTTTACGACTTCCGCAATCGCTTGGGGCAGCCCGGAATAGGGGCAGTCTCGCGATTTGCTCTCTCGACTTCCTCAAGGCATCAGCATCCAATATGTTGCTCTAGCAATACGTTGGTCTAGCGGCACTACGCTCACCGGTGATGAAGCCACAACCATGATGGAACTGCTTTCTGACGAAGACTTCCATTACTTCACGCCGCCCACCTCCATCTCTGCTGAGATCCGATGATTATGGGTGAAAAAATGCGTGCAATTCATCAATCTCCCGAGAAGCGCATATTGATTCCCACATTTACGTAGCTTAGCTTTTTGCAAATCACTGTGGTTGGACTGCGTTTGGACCAACGTTGACATACTGTACTTTGCTGCTATAGCCGTCACTCGCCTCCGGCGGCTCCCAATGTGTGAAGGGGAATAAAGTAACGAGTTCCACAATCAACCCCAGAGCTGCCCCACATCCTTTACACGCGTGTAAAAAACGTGGGGATCCCCACTCTACTCTTCCTCACTCTTCGCGCTCCTCACGCTCTTGATTGCACCTCGTCATGGCCCCCAATTACATACCAACCCTCCTTCCCACCCCCCTTCCTTCCCAACGCAATTGTGAGCAGTAAGCATTCCCGGTTTCACCTTCAACCACCACCAGGTAACAACCGCAATTCCTCACCGTTCTCAGCCTCATTACCACAGCACTGACGCGAGTTCTTTGACACACAGCCATCACGGCAATCACCTGCAACACCTGTCTCGGCACAGCACAGCCATCATGTCATCACACCAGGCGCTCCAGGGGCACCTGTGGGGTGGCTTCTTTGCCGGAGTTACCACACCACGGCGGAAGAGGAGGAAGGTTGCTCCGGTTACCCCTCGGTTACGTCTGCCAACCGCTGTGCAGCCAACCTCTGTGCAGACACCATTGCAACCCCCACGATTCGAGCTCCCACCCTCTGTCCATCGCCACTTGCCCCAAGCAGTTGCAGACATGGTTGGCGAGAGTTCCGGCGATGAAGACGGGCAGCAGCAGCAGCAACAGCAGCGAGGGCTTTCACCCGCGGACAGGGGCCTGCAGCGTCCGTTGAACCTCCCTGCTCCCATCCCTTTCCTTTTTCCCAGCACCCCGGGTGGATCCCTGGTGCTTGAACCCCCGTCACCACCACCCGCTCAACGACCCCGGCAGACACATGCAGGCACCAAGGTTTCGCTTCACCGAATCCATAATCAAAATCAAGTTCAAAGGGAGCGCCTGACAACATTCATCGGCAACGTTCACATCCTTGCGCGCCACACCACCTTCTTTCTCAAGTACTACCTTGGTGAGGTTTTGAGGTACACTGTATATTTCCCATGATATTTCCCATAACAATGTCCTGACTACTACGTCTGCCCACCGCAGCTGATCATCCTCTACGCGATTTCCCGGACATCACTGACAAGCACATCAGTGTGATGTTTGAGCTGCTCAACAATCCAGGCTACAACGGCAATCCGGTCATCGCGCAAGAGTTGCGTCCATGGGTTCAAGACTACTGTGATGTTCACGGATTCGCCCCCATACGCATGCGAAATTGCCAACAGACGGCAGCATACACGGCTCAGAGCATCCTCACAAACCTCAAAGTCAACGTACAAGAGCATTTCATGCAAATGCTTCTGCGCTACATCAACGAAAGGATTGGTTTGAAGCAAGTCGCACTGCATCTCCGGAGAGCCAGAGTCAACCGAGCGCAGCGGAGACAGTATTATCAGCGGGTCCGTCACTTTACAAAATTTGCGACGTTTGAAGAGTTTCCAACCGAAGAGGACTTTGCGCGCCTCACACGACTTGAACGGACTGTCCTTGACGAGTCATGGGCTCTGTTTCCTGCCCAGGATGAGCCGCTTGCATACAGCCTTGCGGTGGACGCAATGCCATATTTAGGTGAGTTGCATCCTGTATATTCACCCCCCCCCCCCCCCCCCAGGCTCGTGCGTGGCTGTGCAGTGCCTCGCTTGGTATGCCAACCTGGCCGAGTGGCTGCCCGCCGGGACCCCGGCCGACGTGGTTTGCGATGCGCTGTTGGCGCTGGGCGCCCGCACGCTTGGCTCCCGCGGCCCCCCCACCCCCCCCCCCGGCCTCGACGACGCCGCCAGTGCGCGCACAGCGGGCCCGGGGCGCGACCGATGCTCTTGCCCACCGCCATGGCGTCAACGTAACCAGCGCCGCCGACGTGTTCGCCGCGCGCCGAACATAACGCGAAACCCCCCCCCCCCCCCCCTGCGGTGCCCTCTTTTGTCTAATCATGGTCTGCACCTGCCTCGCCTCATCACAGGTGCCCACTGTGAACTCTCGCGCCTCTATGAGCGCCGTGGAATGCGCCTGTTCTCCGCTATCCCGCTGCGCAAATCTCGAATTCAGTCATCTGTTTGGATCGACACGCTGATCCTAGGCACTCATATCCTGGATGTTGGCCGACGTCGCATGGGGAAACTCACTGATGAACGCAAGCAGGAGCTGTGGGGGCAGTTTCTCAATGTGAATGTAAGTCTGTATCCTTTGATGAAGAGGCGCGCGAAGGTCGGGTGGATGGCGAGACAGCCGGTGAGGATGCAGTCGATGTAGGATTGCGGGATCGGTGTGCACGGGGTCGGTGTGTGCGGGGCTGCCGGTCCCGTGCACGCGCTTGTGCGGGACGACGGGGGCTGGAGCTCGTACACCCACACGACAACGGGCGCGGCGGGGGATGTGGTTGTGGTTTCAAACGGGTGTGAGATGGTGGGTGAAGATGGCGGGGTGTTGAAGTGGAGGATCTCGATGTCCTCCACTCTGACCGTTCCGCGGACGTAGTCCTTCTCGCGCTCGTTGGGTGGGTGTGCGGACGGTGCGGAGGCGCGAGTGCGGGTTGATGAGGGTGCGGCTCTTATTTCAATCACCTTGCTGAATGACGCATTATAGGACAAGGTCTTCAAACATCGAAAGAAGCTTGGTCTCAAGTTTGATGGGTCAATTAGCACCAACGGGTATTCCGTTACCATCCACTTCAAGAAGCCAGGGCTAAAGTATGGGCATCGGGCCCGGAAGCGCAGCAAGGCCCAAATGCGGGAAGAAGTCAAGCAGTTGTATTTTGAGCACCACATCGCCGAACTACGGGAGGCTCCAAACATTGTCTGCATTGAACCGGGCAAGCGTGACCTCCTGTTCTGTCGAGATATTGAGAAGGAGCGGCCATTTCGGTAAGTTTCAGTTGATTACTACTGCCCTGCTGTCCCCATCCCCCCCCCCCTTCCCCAACCCTCGACTTTGCGGAAGATGGTGCGGAGGTGTTTGCGGACGTTGACTTGGAAGGGGTGGTTCCCCTGTTTGCGTACACGGGCAACGAATCTGGGCGAGAATCCTTGCGGATCTGGGCGAGGAGTTCGTTGATAGAGTTGGACGAGCACGGAGCTGTCGATGGGAACGCCGCCAATGACGGAGCAGCCGCGGTTGGTTTGCTTGTCGCCGTCGCGCGTCATATCGCTCGTCGCGTGGCCCATGTTGATGACCTGCATGACGGTGTCGAGGCCAACCCTGTCTCCGCCCCCAGCCCCCCGTCTCCGCCCCCCAGCCCCCCGTCTCCGCCCGCCAGCCCCCCGCCCGCCCGGAGAGACATGACAGAGCGGAAGATCAATGCCGGCGTTGCTGAGATGGAATCACATATTCCATCGCACAAGAGCATGAACATCGAGGCGTTCTCAGCGTTCCTTGTGGATTACAAACATGCGGGTATGATGTTCTACTTCAACTTTAATTTTCAATATTTGGTAATACATGGGCTGACATCCATCCATATCCCAGATCCCGCCCTGGATGAATTTTACCGGGATGAGATTCACGTCGCTCGCAGGTTCAAGGCGTTCTCACTGCGGCAAAAGTCTGAGAGCAAGCTCATTAAGAATTTGCGACGCCGGTATGGAAAGCATTTTTCGGTCATCTTGGGTGATTGGAGCGATGCTGGGAAAACGATGCGCTTTCAGGAGTCATCAAAGACCAAGGGGTGAGTGACCATCATTGGTAGTACCTACGATGTATTATAATATGCTAACTCATCATGGAAATCAGATTCCGCACACTCTTTGCAAGAAACAGCATTCCATGCTACTTGCTAGATGAGTATCGAACGTCGTCCGTGTGCCCAGACTGCCACGGCCGTGTGAAGAAAAACATCCAACAGCGGCTGTCATCTTGGCCGTGGCAAGCTAGAAAGGGAAGAATGGAATACGTCCATGGATTGGTGGGTTGCCCCAACCCCGAATGTATCAACCAAGACTGGACGCCATTTGGGATTCCTGGAAGACAACCACTACGACTACGAATGAAAGCGCACAATCGGGACGTCCTAAGCACCAAGAATTTCCTCTCGATTGTGCGTTCGGTGGTGTTTGGCGATGGCCGCAGACCAGACGCATTCTCCCGTAACCGGTAGTCTAGAATTTTCACCCCATTCAATGTTCCGTGGTGGTTATCTGCCATCCACATCATTGTACCTCTGCCGGAGGCATCGCCGATGATGGCAACTTGTAAACAGAACCATGACAGCCGGCGAAGATACGGGCCATCTCAAATATTTACATTTCCAAGCTACGGTTACTATCGAGAAAGCTACCAGCCATCATAACGGAGTGAACAGCACACTTGAGTGGATCCGTCTACCCAAGTAGAGAGATCCTTTGCTGGCTGCTACTAATACAAGCCCGTGTTGACGCAGCGGCCCAGGATATTCGTCAAGGAATGTGCTCGTTGCACTCAACCCGCTGCAAAATGCAGTCTTACGCCGCTCGCGTTCATGGGTATATCCACCCGACAGAGCCCGCCGACGCGTCCGTCAATACTCTCAATTGAGGGACATCATGCGACCTTTGCATGGACAGGGCCTTCCCTCTCTGACTCCCGTGATGGTGAAAGATGCTCATCCCACACGACAAGCGGTAAACCACCACCATACCTAATTTCTATCAATCCCTACCCAACTCTCCTTCCTCCTCCTCGCCACGAGTATCGCCACCTTCCCGCCCAACAACATCCATCCGCTCCGCCGCCCCATCCTGACTCTGCGTCCCGGACCGATCCCGTCGCGCGTTATCGGCATCGTCCACGTCCATCCCCGTATGCTCCGCTGTCGCTGGCGCGCTGCTCTCGTTCGTAGTGTTCAGTGCGGCTTTGCGCTTTGCTTCGAGGAGGAGTTGTGTGGTCTTGTCGTTGTGTTCTTTGGGGAGGTAGTAGATTTGGGAGCGGCGGCCGTTGTGGGTTTTGAGGAAGTGGGATGTGTTGCGGATTTGTGCTTTTATGTGCTCTTTCTGGAAATTTTCGAGCGGGAGTAAGTGGCGGTCCTGAATACTTCACGAGCCATAGATCTTCATTCCCCTTCCTACCGTTTTCTCTATCCTCTCCTGATCCTCTTGCTCCCGTTTCGCTTTCATCATTGCGCTGCGCTCTTTGAAATCCTGCTCCACCTGCACCGCCAACTCTTCCTTCTCTTTCTTTAGCTTCTCTTGCAGCTTCTGCTCGATCTCCTCCCTTCGTTTCTCCTACAACCGTGCGGCACGTTGGTTAGACTGCGGAGTTCATCACACCACCAGTTCCTAGCGCCTGTACGAGTCACAAAGACAAGTTGTTGGCCACGACATGAATGGTACATACAGCTTCAGTCTTCCGAGTCGTAGATTTAGCCGCTTTCTGCAGTGTCCCGTTCAGTATCCCGAACATTCGTCGTGATCGCTTTGTGAGGTTCTCGTCCATGCTTAACCGGGGTCGTTTCTATGTGTATGCGGAGATCATAGCTTCAGTCTCGACGCCGCGTAACATATCCTGTCCGGTCGTCCAGCGTACCTCCCCACCGTTGCTAACGGGTGCTGGTAAATCCCTTACGACATCTTCGTCGCCATCCATTTTCCTGCAAAAGCAATAGCATTGGAATTCGAAGTGATACCACGCGCCCCGTTTCACCGATCTCTCCGCTTACTCTTCTTTTACCGGTGCTTCCACCGGTGATGGGTCAGAAGGCTGCTCTTCGACCATCATGATTGCGTGGTGTTTGGGAGTGTTTGCTTGACAGGTGCTGTAGTTCCTGTTTGTGTGCATGCAGTGTTGCATGAGGGTGTGGGGCCCAACGACAGCCGAACTATATTGATGCGTCACGTGGTTCCAAATCATTCTTATTTCAACGCCCAAGCTCCAGCAACCGAGCAACGCTTCAAGATTAGCACCATCGCCACTTCTACGCACCGAGAACAAGATTAGCAACAGCCATGCACCGAACCGCCGTCGCTCGTCAGACGGCGAGCCATACCTACTGCAGTGCGAAATGGGCGGACTACATCACCGCCACTCGAGCTCGTCGTTCACTGCTGCAGCAAGGAATGGCCGGCCCACGATGTCCTAGCAATGTACGGCTGCTATGTAGCACACCGTGCATACGAGCGAACGATAACTGGAAGAGTAGCGGCTTCACTCCACGGCCACCACCGCGGCGGCCATTGCCGTCTCTCGCGGGTCCCCCACGAGGGCCACCTCCGTTTTCTCCCTTCCAACGGCAACAACAGCAGCAACAACAGCGGGACGCCGTTGACCAGAAGGAGCAGAATTCGCCGCTTCAGCAGCCTGAAACACCACCACAACCCAAAGCAGTACCAGGATGGCGAGCTCAGCTGGAAAGCCAACAGCAGGCGCGAAACAGTCGCGGCAAAACGGGGTCGCCATCCCCCGCTTCAGCCGGTGCCACGCCGGTCGAACCCGAGCGACCGATGAACGAACGCATCCCATACCCCACCATCATCCTCGTCTCCATCACCGGCGAAAACCTCGGCCCAAAACCGCTCACCGAAGCACTCACAACATTCGATCGCGCAACAGCCGATCTCGTCCTCGTCAACACGAAGCTGGACCCACCATTATGCCGCGTGATGCCAAAAGACAAAGCAAAAGCACGCGCAATAAAAGCGGGTCTAGCGGCGTTCGAGAAACCGGTGCGAAACGCCAAAATCGCAAAGGAGGTGGAAGGGAAGGTGGTGGTGGTGGACGTCGAGACAGGGACCACGAAAGGCGTGATGTCTGTCGACGACGCATTGAAGGATCTCAAACTCGACACCTACACACTGCTGCTGTACTCCCAGGGCACCGTACCCAAATCCTTCCCCAAAGCGACCGTCGAACCACCAGAGAACGGCGCGGTCGTGTACATCGTCTCCCACGACGAGCAGGACCGCCTACGCGCCGAAGGCCGCTCCTCCTCCTCCTCCTCGAAATCCAAATCCAAATCCGGGAACGCATCCAACAACGTCGTAAAAGAGATCGAACTGGGCTCAACCATCTCCGCGCACGATCTGCAGATCAAGCTCGCCAAGGCGCGGCAGTTCCTTGAAAGTAAACATCGGCTGCAGATTGGAATTGTGCAGAAACGCGGCGCGCCAAAAGGAGCGGTCCAGACGCTGGTGAAGAGTGTCCGGCATGAGTTGAAGGGGTTTGGAACGGTGGTGAATGAGCAGGAGGCGGAGAATGGGAGAAAGACGTTGTTGGATTATACGCCGGGGCCGCCGAAGAAGAAATGAGCGGGACTGGATTTGGCAACCCTCTGTCGAAGCCCGCGCGTCCTTGGCCCAAAGTTTCATATTTGCCAGCCATTTGCCCGCTTTTCTCGGGGTCAAAAAAGCTGTTTGTAAATACGTCGAATACACTGCGGCGTGGGAAGGGATGGTTTACATCCGTGATGTGCGACGCATTTCAGTATGCAAAGTGAAGTCAGTATGCAAAGTTCAGTATGCAAAGTGAAGTCAGCCCTGTTGCGTGTGGGATTCAATTCATCCCACGAACAGTTTTCCAATACTTGTGTCTCGAAGTTTCCACGCAGCACAGGCAGCACAGGCATGTCACGGAGCAGCGCATCCGGCACGCAGAAGACGCAAGACGCTGCCAAGGCAAAACAATGAGCGGGTGAGTGACTTGGACATGGACTGAGGCAACATGATCTCCATGTTCTCACGCTAACGCAAGTTCCCCTCCAGAAAGATGGTGACCCCGCCAGACAATAGGCCCGATGCCGTGGAAGCTGCAATTCTCAAACAGGTTGAGTACATACTTCTGACCCAAGAGCAGAAGTTGAAGCTTAGTCTACGCATGACCGCTAACCCACTTTCCACAGACGAAAACCTCCCAAAAGACAAATACCTCAACGAAGTCCTCCGGCTGCACCAAGGCTGGGTGCCCATTTCCGTCCTGCGGAGTTTCAAAAAATTGAAAGCGATTCAGTCCGACAGCGTGCGGATAGCCATTGCGTTGAAGAAGAGTGATGGGATGCTTGAGGTCGATGGGACGGGGAAGAAGGTTAGGAGGAGGACGCGGATATCTGCGAATGCAAAGGGGGTTGACAAGGAGGCACAGAGTAAGGAGGGGAAGAGGAAGACAGAGGATGAGCAAGGAGAACGGAATAGCGATGAGGTATGTGAAGGCAGCTTTCTTGCGAGAAGGGGGGGGGGCTTCCTGTGTTTGTTAGCTCACATTCTTCTTTCCTACACACCTAGACCGCCTCAAAGAAACGTCGCCAAACACAGCCCACCCCATCCACCACCCACCCAATCCCACCCGCCACAGCCCTCGACATCTTCCACACCCGCCACTTCAGCCAATCCGTCAAACAAACCTTCTTCCAAAACCCCATATTCGGGCCTCTCACATCGTCTACGGCCGCGCCGATAGCGCATGATGCAGACAATTACTGGTCAAAGTTGTGCACACCGTGCGCAGAGTACTGGTCGAATTACTATAGCCAGCAGCAGGACACGTTAGACGTCACGGGTGTCACGGATGAAATGGCCCCGACTGAGGAAGATGAAACATGGGAAGCGGACGAAGATGTTACATATGAGGAAGATGTTACATATGACAACGAAGTCGCATACGACGACGACAAAGATGCCGCATACGATGACGAAACCGAACCATCCTACATCCTAACCCCCGGCATGATCGACATGTTCCGGCACCCGGCCACCTGGAAGATCGAGAAGCGCCGGATAGCGGAGGAGATGGAGGCGAAGGAGGCTGCAGGTACGTTTTCTCCCGTTTCACGCGCCTACCCCACGTACATATTGCCGCCACAATCTCACATATCAGCCCATTCTCTCATTCTACCTGCCAGAAACAGCAGCATCCACAGCCCAATCCAACCTCAACACATGCACCCCCGCGACCCGCTTCGCCGCTAAACAACATCTGGATGGCGCCGATGGTGCGTACAAGGTTATTCTGATGGAAGACGCTTTGACGGAGTGGGTCAAGACGGGGACGGAGAAGGGGAAGGGGAAGGGGCGGAAGAGGGTTGTGTGGCCTATTGTTCCTATCAAGTAGGGGCTAGACGTAGGGATTTCCCCCACCACCGACCACCGCCCTCACGCCTGACTCGCGCCCCCAGCCGCCGCGGCGCCAAAGAAGTTTGCGCGATTGGGATCCATCATCCGATGCACGCGCACATCATCCCCGTTGAGGCCGGGCACGCTGCCCATGGTCTGCGGGGTGATGAAGATGTACTGGCACGGCTTGTCGGACTCGCGCGCGTTCTCGATCATGGCCGTCATTGCGGCGCGGCGGTTGACGGCGTCCTTGAATTCATCCGAAAAAAAAACACAGGGCGGTCAGATAGGATGCATGTAGGAAAGGGGAAACATATCTTGGGAGAGAAAGGGTTTCTTACCATGAACACATCAAACTCGTCCAGCGCTCTGAACGGGCTGCCCATGGATTCCCACAACGCGAGCAGCAGACACACGGTCGAGAAACTCTTCTCGCCGCCGGAGAGCGATCGCGGATCCTTTTCCTTGCCCTTGCCTTTGGCCGACCGGCTGCTTTCGTCGCTGTTGACCGTTACCTAGAGATAACGGAGGGGGGGGGGGGGCGGGGGGGGGGGGGGGGGGGGGGTGAGGACGTTGCATCTCGAAAAGGGGAGGCCCAACGAAAGAACAGTACCGCCAGTTCCAACGCCCCTGCCTGATGATTCAGCTTCAGCCGGCCCCTGTACCCCCTCTTGCCCATCAGCTCCCCAAAGAGGAACTTGGCGCGAATGGACACGTAGCCGCGGTACGCGATCCACTGTGCCATGCGCACGTTGAGCGCCTCGCCAACGGCCTGCCCAAGCTTGCGCCAGTCCTTGATCTCGTTCCTGGCTTCTTCGTACGCGTGCAGTTTGGCGAGGTACGTGGTTTTCATGACGTTATAGTCGCCGTGGCTGTGGGAAACATGGGAGGGGGGGGGGGGGGGGGGGGGGCGGAGAAATCTATCAGTTTTCCCAACCCCCAAAAAACAAGCCACAAAAAAAAAGGGCAGAAAAGACAAAACCACCCACGTCTGAGCAATCTGCCTGATCGTCGCCTCCAACGTCCTTATGTCATGCTCCAACGCCTCCCTCCCACTCCGTGGTTCCACACGCTCGCAATACGCCTCCGCCTTCTCCACCTCGCTCCGCAGCGCCTCCTCCGCCTCCGCGACGGCCTGTTCCGCGTCGCGTAAGTCACCCTGCGCCTGGACCAGCCCGGCTTCGTAGCGCTCGCGCTGTGCGGTGGTTTGCGCGAGGGCCAAGGTGGCGGCGTTGATGTGCTCGACCACCTGGTTGATTTCGCGCTCGATGATGCGTTGCTCGTCGTCGAGGTGCTGGATCTGGTGCCGGATCGGTTGTTCGGAGGCGCGGAGGTCTTGTTGGCGGCGCAGGCATTCGCGCGATTGGTTGGCGGTGGCTTCGATGTTGGCTTCTTCGGCCTGGGAGTCTTTTAGTTCGCCCATCCTGCGGATGTGAGGCATGCAAGACGGCTCAGTTGGAATCCATACCCTTTTAGCCTCACGCAAGGGCCCGATATTATCCCCTTCATTCTCATCCTAAACCATCGCCCGTCAAAATGTCAGCCAGCGTGCTGAGACCCCCCTCCCCAAAACCGCCAGCAAGCCAGCGCGCATACCACCAAATCATCATTCATCTGCGCGATATCCTGCACCGTCTGTGTATGGTGCCTTTGTGACTTGGCATGTTCGTTCTGGAGATTCCAGGGGGAAAAGGAAAAGATCCCATCAGGGGTGTCAAAGATACTCAGCCACCCCCAACCAATGTGATGGCAGTACCCTCAGCGTCTTCTGCTTGTCTTCCACGTGCCGCAGATGTCCTTTGGCTTCGAGCAAGAGCGGGCCCAGCCGGTCGATCTCGCTCTCCGTGGCTCGGAGTTCCCTTTCCGCTTCTCTGCGGGTACAAAAAAACAAACGTGCATTCATCAGCGAAACGTACCCAACCGAATATCCCAGAGAGCGAGATGTACGACTCTCTCGGCTAGCGCGGGCGCCCCCCCCCCCCCCAACTCACCGAATAACCGAGGAAATATCCTGCAGAATCCTCGGGCGGCCCCTGTACTGCATCAACGAGCTCGTGCTCAGCCCCCCGCCTCGGTTCCCGACACTGAAACAGTTCTTTGTCACGACCACATTCACATTCTGCGGGAACCCACCGCCGGTGATCTGCTCGCCCTCGCGTCTCGTATACACCAACACGCTCTTCTCGACCGCGTGGTTGAGGACCAACTGGCGGAGGATGATCTCATTGTCGACCTCGATGGCGCGGTAGACGGTCATGAGGTCCTTGTGGGGCTCGCCGCGGGAGATGTCGATGCGCTGGTTGCGGTAGCGGAGGATGCTGGAGCGGCAGCCGCAGGGGTCGAGGATGTGTTTCTGGAGCGTCAGGACGTCCTCGGGGGTCTCGACCGCGAAGGAGTTGAGGGTGTTTCCGAGGAGGGTTTCGATCGCGTTGCCGAAATCGGTCTGCCGGAGCTTGACGTGCAGCCCGATCGGGCCGAGGGGTTTGGCGCCTTTCCAGCGCTTCTCGCGCTCGAACCGCTCGATCTGCTCCATCACCCGCCGCATCTCGCGCCCAAACGCCTCGAGGCGGTCAGAGCTTTGGTTGCTCAGGCTGTGCAGGCGGTCCTGCTGGGAGCGCTGGGCGGTCTGCAGACGCTGCATGTTGCTGGTTAGATCGTGGACCGCTCGTTTCGCCTGGTCCCATTCCTGGTCTACAGCGGCGCGCTCGCCGTCGTATCGCCGGAGCGTCGCCTCGATCTCGGCCTTTGCGTCTTCGCGCGCTTTGATGGCTGCAAGCTGGTTGAAGCGGGTCATTTGTCCATCCACCTGCAATTTCTGCGTCTCCTCCTCGATGCGTCTATCGATATCGGCAATGTTGCGTCGGTTGAGCGTGACGGCCTCGTTCATCTCCTGTATTTCGTTATCGACTTCCCTGAGAGCCTTGTGCACTTCTTCCAACTCCGCTCTCAGGTCCGCGCGCTGCCGCACAAGGGGCGCGCTACGTCCTTGTTGTGCAGCGAGTTGAGCTTCCAGCGCTTGGACTTGCCCATCCAGCTCCTCGCATTTGGCAACGGAGTTTTGGAGCTTTTGCGTCACTTTGGTCAAGCATCTCTGTTTCTGCACCACGTCGGCCTTTCGGGCCTCGAGGTTCTGCTCGACTTCTTTGACTTCGGACCAGACCCACATCTCTTTGAGCATCGCCACCTCTTCCTCGATTTTACGCGCGCGTTCGAGACCTTTTACCACCTGTTCCAACCTTTTGACCTCCTTCTTCATGTCCGGTAGGACCTCGGATCTGCGCCGGATTTGCTGGTCTAAGGTGTGGCGACTCTCCGTGATGACGGAGTAGTCGGCGCTCAATTGCCGGAGACCGGTGCCGGTAAGGAAGAACTGATACTTTTCCTTGGATGTGCTGTTGGCGAGGAAGCCCCGCGCGGCGTCCTGTGTGAGGATCGTCATGGGATTGTCGGCATGGATGCCCATGCTGTCCATGATGTTTAGGAGCTCCTCCCGCTTTGTGGATATGACTCTGCCATTCTTGGCTCTGATCTTGTAGCCGCCGGAGCCCTCCCTGCTGATCTTTCGTTCGACAATGATTCGATCGCCGTACTCGCTCGGCTTGTAGGCGTCGTTGCCTTCATTTCGGATGGTGACAGTGATGGACCCGACATTGCAGCCTTCTTTCAGGAAATCTTTCACGCTGTTTGCTCGGTTCGTGAGGGTTGCCCGAGCGCCGAGACAGACGGTCAGGGCGGTTAAGACGGCGCTCTTGCCTGATCCGTTGTGTCCGACGATGAAGTTGATCTTTGGGCCCAAATCGATTTTGAGGAATGTATGGCACATGAAGTTGGCCACCTCGACTTGGGCGATGGAGCCAGTGGCATCTTCTTGCTTTCGTTTGCCTGCCGACCGGCGCTGAAATATATGTTTCGAAGAGGCACTTGAGTCGGGGGGCGGGGGCTGGTCGTCAAGATGTTGAACGATGCATGCCGCCAGAACCCTTGCTGTCGCCGGCTGTGCAGTGTCCCAGTTCGCTCATCACACTCCCCTTTCACGCGAACCCACCTGCAAAGCCACCTCCTCCTCTCCCAAGCCATCGTCTACTCCGTCGTCGTCGTCCTCGTCCTCCTCCTCTTGAGACTCCTCTTCATTCTCGTCGTCGTCCTCCTCCTCGACCTCCGATCTGCGCTTCTTCCGGATATGCTCGTCCTTCGGACCCTCCGCAGAGTCTCTCTCCGACCTCTTCCTCCTAGCGGTGGGTGTAGGCGGCTCGTCGAACAAGAAGTTTTGGCTCGTCGCTGGATAGTCTTCGTCGTGGTCGTCGTCGCCGCGGTCGTCGCGCAAGTGGCCGTTCATGGTGGCGGGCGGGCGGGGGGGGGGGGGGGGGGGGGGGGGGGGGGAGTGAGAGCAGTAGTAAGAGTGTTTGTCAAAGCGAAGTCTGAGCGAGGGCGAGGGGGAGTGAGAGGGCGGGTGGCGGTGCAAGTCAATAAAGGGAGCGGACGCGAGAGAGAGAGGCAGAGAGAGGGAGACACAGAAGAGAGAGAGAGAGAGAGCGGGGGAGTGAGAGGGCGGGTGGCGGTGCAAGTCAATAAAGGGAGCGGACGCGAGAGAGAGAGAGGCAGAGAGAGAGAGAGACAGAAGAGAGAGAGAGAGAGAGAGCGGGGGAGTGAGAGGGCGGGTGGCGGTGCAAGTCAATAAAGGGAGCGGACGCGAGAGAGAGAGAGGCAGAGAGAGAGAGAGACAGAAGAGAGAGAGAGAGAGAGAGAGAGAGCGCGTCCGAACAGACCAGACAGGGATCCCCTCGCATCACGCCCCCCCCCCCCCCCCCCATCTCGCCAGCTCACTCTCTCTCACACAAACTATTATTATTCACCACATACTGTACTCTATCACAATGCTCACAGAACCACCACTACTAACTACTGCCCCTCCCCCTCCCTCACTCACTGACCCTATCCTCATCATAGGCGGCGCTGGCACCTTCGGCCTCTCAACAGCCTGGCACCTCGCTCAACGGGGTTACGCAAACATAACCTGTCTCGACAGGTTCCCCTTTCCCTCAAAGGACTCGGCCGGATATGACTGCAACAAGATGGCCAGGAGCGAGTATAACCCCGACTCGACAACAAAGCCCGACCAGGTCATACACAGGCTCTCGCAGGAGGCCTTGAAGGCTTGGCGGGAGAACCACCTCTTGAGGGGGACGTTTCATGAGACGGGGAGGATCTCCATTGCTTCTTCCACTGAAAATTATGAGGAGTTGCGTGAATATTACACGGAATTACAGGTGGGTCCCGCACCGCAAGCGCAATTCTAGCGAGCGAAGTGAGCATTAAATGTGAGCGACAGCGAACGGTCGTTTTGATGACACGTCGCTCCGCTTCGCTCATGCCGTCAACCACCCATCAACCAACGATCAACAAACGATCGCTTGGCTAACCAATCATCGCTTCCCTTCCTTCCCTGATTTTCTATTGAGTAGGCCGGTCCACGAGCAAAGGACGTTAAATGGTTCGACTCGCCCGCAGAACTCAAACAGTTTGCGCCGTACCTCACCGGCGAGCTTGCAAACGCAAAAGCCGTCTTCAACCCCGAAGGCGGCTGGGTCTACGCAAAGGAAGCTATGCAGAGAGTCGGAGAAGAATGTAAACGTTTGGGAGTCAAATTCGTCTCCGGCGGCGCTGGCACCGTCCGTGAGTTCATCTTTGCCTCCTCCCAAATCGACAATGACGACGACGACGACAAGACATCACCCCCCAACTCCTCCCGCATCATCGGCGTCCGCTGCCAGGACGGCACAACCCACCCCGCCGCCCACACCATCCTCGCCGCCGGCGCCTGGTCCCCCACCCTCCTCTCCCTCCAATCCCAACTCATCTCCAAATGTTGGACCCTCGCGCACATCCCCATCACCAACCCCACCGAACGCGCCCTCCTAAAAGACATCCCGGTGATTCTCGACCTCGAAAAGGGGTTCTTCTTTGAACCGGAAACGGCCACGGGGCTGGTCAAGATATGCAATGAGTTTCCGGGGTTCACGCGGTGGGTCGACGATATGAGTGTCCCGGACGCGGCCGGGGTGCTCCATAAACAACGGATTTCGGTTCCCCGGGGCCACGGCTCGCATCCAACGGACGGGATCCCCACCCGCTCCACGCAAGAGATCCACGACCTGCTGCGGCTCCTCAAACCCGAATGGGCCGACCCGGAAACGTATCCGTTGCAGGACGTCAAAATGTGCTGGTGTACAGATACACCCGACCGCGAGTTCCTGGTTTGCTCCCACCCACACATCTCGTCGTTGACGCTCGCGACCGGGGCCAGCGGCCACGGGTTCAAGATGCTGCCGACGATTGGGGACTATGTGGCCGATCTGGTGGAGGGGAGGAGGTTGGAGGCGGCGTTGGAGTCGGCCTGGAGGTGGAGGCCGGATGCGGGGGAGAGGCCGGGGGATGGGACGAGGCCCGGGGCCGGGGGGGATTTGGGGGATGTGGGTGGCTGGAGGAGGGGCGAAGATGAGAGGGCGAGGGGTTGATTGAAGACAAAGTGCACTTTACGTCCCCCCCCCCCCCCCCGATGGATGTTGCATACATGTAGAGTAGGTAAATCATATAGAAAGTCGGCAACAGACGAGTTTGCGGACTAGCTTCGGCATCCGATAGCATGAATCATTTTCCCTCATTTTTTCCTGTTTCGATTCTTCTGCTTCTCATCCGGTCGATGTCTCATACTGTATATGTGTGTGTGGGTGTTTCTCCTCCCGCAGCCCAACATTCACACGGGTTTGCTCGGGCTACACTAGGTGTTGCAGCGGTCCCATTCATATGACCATCGCGTCCATCCTGTCAAATGCGCACATGCGACCGGCCAAGCCACGCCCCTCGAAACTCCGCTCACCCAAGGTGCTTCCCGCCCGCCCACAGGAGAGCAACTTGCGGTCGTCCCGCCGGGTACTCAACTCTTCTGATCGTCGCATCTCTCGAGCCCGCCCATTTTCCACATTAACCTTCGTCTTTCTTCCTTTCTATCCCACTCGCCTTTCTTTTTCTGGATATTACGACCATCGTGCCTTCAGATGGAAAAGACCCAAGAATAATGAAGCAATCATTCAAAAGCAGGGTGACGGAATGGAAGGCGAACCATACGTATGTCATCCTCAAGAACGAGCCGTTAAACAAACCCTTCACTAAACCCTCGTCCCCAAACCAGGAAAGAAAAAGACAGAACCCGCCCGTCCACCTCAACAACCATCAAAAAGTCCGCCGACCTCACCCCCGACCCAACAACACCCACAACAGCAAGAAGCCCAACCCCACCCTCAACCTCCCTCCACGCCCTCCCGTCGGAACCCCCTCCCCTGCCCCCCTTCCTCCCTCCCCTCCCCGCCCACCTCGCCACCCTCATCCTCTCCCACCTCCCGCCTCCAACCCTCCTCCTCTGCACCCTCGTCTCGCGCACCTGGCGCCACGCATCCCTCCACCCGCTCCTCTGGCAGCAGCATTGCGTGGATGAGGGGATCGGGATCGGGCCGGGCAGCGAGTACCTGTTGGAGACATGCGAGGGGGATCTGGGCCGGTGGTGGTGTGCTGTTTACAGGGACGGGGTGGTGAGACGGCGGAACTGGAGGCAAGGGGTTTATAGGTTCTGGAGCGTGCCGGTGGTGGAGGTGCGGGACAGCATTAACTGGTGCGTGGGGGGTGAGTTGTCTGTCTACAGATGGAGTTGCCTTTTTTTTTTTTCCCTAAAGCCGTATATATACTTCATTTGTTGGGGTTTACAGTTTCTGGTACGACACCGACAAAATCATCCTCGGCACCCGCCGCCACAAGCTCCTCCTCATCACCATCCCCACCCCCACGCTCTGGTCCGACCTCGCCTCGCTGCCGACCCCAACCCCGCCACCGCCGCACCTCACCTTCCACTCCGCGCACACGGTGCCCATCATGTCGCTCGCCCTCCCGCGGCCCACGCACACCTCACAACACCTCCTCGCGAGCGTCGACGGCGGCGGGACCCTGGTCCTGTGGAACGTGTTCACGGGGCAGGAGATTGCGCGGCTGGCGGGGGCGCACGAGGGCGGGATCAGCAGCGTGGCGATCGTGGAGGGCGGGCGGGCGGTCGTGACGGCCGGGTTCGACAGGCTGGTGCGCGTGCACGAGGTGCGGGAGGTGTGTGCGGATCCCGAGGACGGGTCCGAGGAGAGTTTGGAGGCCGACGGGACCGTGCCGTCGCCGGGGGCGTCGAATGAGGATGTGGACGGTGGCGGTGGGGACGGCGTGGATTCGCAGAGTCGCACGCACTCACTGTCGCGCCGGACGACGCCGGGGCCGCGAAGACGCCGGAGCGCGGATACCACCACCCCTACCCCCACCACCGAACCCGCGCAGGGTGTAACTCGCAGCGCAACATTACCGCCCCACCCCGGCCGTCGGCGCCGGTCCACCAGGACATCATCATCCCCATCTACCCCCGACGGCGGGACCTCTGCCCCAGCCACCCGCCACCCCCCCGCCGCGAGCCGAACGCCAAGTTTCCTCAAACGCCGCTCCACGAAGGACACCACCGCCACCTCCGACAAACCGCCCCCGGCGCCGCAACACACCCACCCCTCCGCAGTCGCCCGCCTGGCGCTCAAAGTCGTCACCCCGTCGCACCCGCTCGTCCCGCCCGCCCCGCTCAAATACCGCCTCCGCGCCCAATTCGAGAAACTGAAGCACAAAAAACAAAAGGAGGGTGCCGCCGCGACGGCCGGTGGGGAGGACGGCGGTGGGGGTGGGGGTGGCTCCGGTGGGGCGGAGGCGGGCTTGGGCGAAGGCGACACGAGGAAGTTTGAGCTCGCGACGGTGGGGACGATGCGCGGGCATACGGGGGATGTGTTTTGCATGGCGGTTGTGGAGGGCGAGGGGAGGGTGGTTACGGGGAGTGTGGATCAGAGCGTCAAGGTGAGGGGCCAGGGTGATCCAGTAGGGAGGGGGGATGAGTTCGACTGAAGTTTTTTTTTTTTCCCCCGAATAGGTGTGGAACCTCGCGGACAGGACGTTGATCCGGAGCATGCGCGGCCACCGCGACTCGGTCACCTGCATCGCCGTGCAGGACGACTACGCCTTCAGCGGGTCGCTGGACATGACCATCCGGCGTACGTCTCCCCCGCTCCCATTTCATCGCCTCCAACTTCCCTAACATCCGTCTCCCCTCTGTGTAGATTGGGACATCTCAACCGGCGACTGCATCCGCACCCTCACCGCCCACACCAAATGGGTCAAAGCCCTCGCCGTCAACGACGACTACCTCGTCAGCGGCGGGTGGGATGAGTGCATCATCGGTACGATCCCCCGGCGTCCCCCCCCCCCCCCCCCCCCCCGATCTATCCTAACCATCCCGATTGTTTCAAACATAGTATGGGACTGGGCAAAAGGCACACACCTCCACACGCTAACCATCGACCACGGCCCGATCGTGTGTCTGCAGTTTGACGAGAGTAAGGTTGTGGCGGTGTGCAGGGGGGAGGGCGTGCAGCACTGTGTCGCTGTGTTGGAGTTTGCGGGGTGGGTGCCAGCTGGGGCGACGGGCGCGGGAGGGGATGTGGTGAGGGCGGGTGGGGCGGAGACCACTTCCAAGGATCGACCATCCCCGCAGCTGGAGGGAGATGCGACGGCCCCGGAAGAGGCGGCAGCGGAAGCGTTACCGATACTCCGCGAACAGACGGAAATCAGCGTGCGAGCGGCGTCCATCCCACATATCGAGGCCGCGGACGCTATCCCGCGCCGAATCCGCGACGTAGGACGGGATGAAGAAGAAGCTGTGGAAGCTTCCAAAGGCGAGCCACAAGCGTCAGGGTTGTCGGCGAGCAGCAGCGAAGAATGTTTTGAGGATGCGCGGGAGGATCTGTTGAGCGAGACGGAGGAGGTGTAGATGCGGTCGATGGATCTTTGCCGGACACCTCTTCTCATGCCGTATATGTATACCCGGGTTGCTGATCTTTGGCATGATTTGCCTCGTATTATTGAACGTATTGTCACTGTATTTACGCATTTAAGTAGTTTGGTACGTCAACCCTTGATCTCCACTCGTTCCCTGTAGCATCTCTGCAGGCCGCAGAACTCCTGCCCATCATTGTGAAAGAACCTTCTCAATTGTGACGATGTGAAATGATGGCCAAAGGTATATTGCAAAATACATAGATGATGTCTATCGTGCTGCTCTCCACTCCACCAAAGTCTTACAGCTTCTGGGTGAGTTCGGGGACGGCCTTGGGAACGTCGATTAGCTATGATTTCTCGTCCGTCAAACCGAGTTGCACGTAGCTCACCTGGAAGAGATCCGCAACGAGTCCGTAATCCGACACCTGGAAGATGGGTGCGTCGGCATCCTTGTTGATGGCGACGATGCACTTCGAGTCCTTCATCCCTGCCAAGTGCTACACGGACGGTAACATGCGTCAGCTTCTGTGCCCTGGCTCGTTGTTGGAATCTCCGATTTGTAAACTAACCTGGATGGCTCCGGAGATACCGACAGCAATGTAAAGCTCAGGCGCGATGATTTTTCCGGTTTGTCCGATCTGAAGATCGTTGCTGACGAATCCAGCGTCTACGGCGGCACGGGAGGCACCAACTACAAGGAAAATAAGTGTTCAGAGCCCGCCGTTCGGCGTAGGAACATGGAAATGGTATCCACGGAAACATACCAGCCGCTCCGAGCTTGTCTCCGAGATCGTAGAGAAGCTTGAAGTTGTCGCCACTCTTCATACCACGACCTCCTCCAATGACGACCTTGGCTCCCGTGAGTTCAGGCCTGTCCGTCTTCACAATGTCCTCCTTCAACCACTCTGTTGTTGCTATATATGATGGGATTCATTAGTTCTCCATCGAGCGATACCGGCAATCACCCTCTCCCTTTGTCAACATACACGCAACATCAGCAGATGGGGCGGTCTCAGTAGATCCAGAGCCTCCAGTCTCAGCGACGGGGAAAGCGGAAAGACGCACTGTGATGAGCTTGATGGGGTCCTTCGACTTTACCGTGGCAACAGCGTTTCCGGCGTAGATTGGGCGGACAAATGTGTCCTCTCCCTTGACGGCGGTGATATCGGATATTTGGTTGACGTCCAAGATCGCAGCGGCACGCGGAAGCACGTTCTTTCCGAAAGCGGTGTGTGGAGCCAAGACGTGGGTGAACTTTCCAGCCTTGGCGGCCGCGACGATCAGAGGCGCAAGGTTCTCGGGAAGCGCATTCTTGTATGCGTCGTGTTTGGCGACCAGGACCTTCTCCACCCCCTTCACGTTCTTCACCGCCTTTGCGACGTTGTCAGGCGCATTGCCTGCAACCAGGGCGGTCACTGGACCACCGAGCTTGCTGGCAGCCGAGATGGTATTCAACGTAGAGGAGACCAGCGCGTCGTTCTTGTGCTCGACAAGGACCAATGTGCTCGCGTTACGAGCAGCCAAGAAGCGTCGCAGCTGTGCCTACAGATATGCACCGGTAGGATAAGTCTCCAGCATTGCGGAAAAAGCAAGCCGATAAAAAGAAAGGCTTTCGCAGGCCACGATTAGCCACCAACGACACTCTCTTGGGCAAGGCACCTTACCTTTGGCGGCGCACAACGCACGGCGGTGGATAGCAGGCTGCGGGAGTACATGGTTGCGTGTGTGCGGAGAGAAGGACGACGATGAGCCAGCCCTTGGACGATGAGGATTTCAGCAATGTCTGTCAATCCCAAAAGGCGCCCAACGCACGCATGGGCAGAAGCGCCGGCCGGAACTTCCCGGAAGCGAGCGCACGCACAACTGGAGAACACACTCGGGCCCAACTTTCGGAATCGGACGGGGGGTGGTGGCTGTGCACGCAATAACTTGTCATCCCGCCCTCCACACGCGCCTGGGAACTTTTTGGCGTGGGAAACGGTCGTTGGCTTTTCTCCCATTGCAAGTCCGCATTGCAGGCCCACGACGACGACAAAAGCGAGGACTGATATCTGGGGTTTTCAGAGGTTGCCATTGGTGGAGGCACCCATGATTGTCGGCTGGTTGAGTTAGCATTCAATGGACAAGTTCCCAACGAACAACCTGGAAGAGCAACTGCAATGGTTCAGGTCCACCCGCTCCTCCTCGACGGCATCGCAGAAGGAAGCCGAAAATGAGACGAGACCAGTGCCAAGCTTCCGGCCCGGAGTGGCAGTCGCCTTTCAGCCTGCTATTTTGCCGACCCCTGCAGCTCCGAATGTGCACGCAAGGCAGTCTTTCACTCCGATGGCACCGAATTCCTTTGCCAGATCGTGCGTGGGACGTTATACGGTTCAGCCCCAAAAACAGGCTTTTGCTAACGAATATCGTTATAGGAACTCCACCGCAGAAGCCGCGAGGCCCTCTTTCAATACTCCTCAAATAACCAGCCATGGTCAGGTACGGACGCCGGTTCAAATGGGTTGGTTGTAAGGTAGCGGCATTGCTCAACGGTGGCCAATATAGCCGATGGCCAGGTCGAACTCTGGTGGAACTGTCGAAACATTCGCGAGGCAAAAGACCACGGTTGGAAGTTTTGGATCCGCTATCTCGACCGTCCCCACACGATTCAAGGCAACGAGGACGACTGAAGGGGCACCTCCGAACCGCCCGAAACGCAAGTCGGACAGTTTCGCTGTGGAAGATGGTATTGCAGTACTCTCCGCGTAGTTATGGTCGAAGGCTGACTTGGGACGCTGAACGGCCTTTTGACTGACCGCCAGACGATCTTGCTTCCATGACGACACCTTCCTCTCCGGAGGAAACGCGGAAACGGCAAAGAACCAGTCCTGCGCCCGTTGAAGGGCCTTGGGAGTCGGGAGATGATGGTGGGAATGCCTAGAATGGTTTCGAGAGTTGGTGAATGCAAGATGCTTACTGGGGGTCACCATCATTGCAGAATTTTTTGGCGTCGATGATGATGACATGCTCAACGCGCAGATGCTCGAGGACTTTGAATCGGTAAGCATGTCCTGCCGTCTCACCACATTGCAAAGGGCTCACAGAAACGAAATCAGGACTTCTATGCTCAAACAAATGGCAGCGAGGGCGCTCTGATACCCGTGCAAGGCGCTCGTTCTAATAGTAACTTCACGGGCCACGGTCCCAGCCGCCTGGAACTCGAAACATTGCGCACCAAGTTGATCGACGAGAAAAGGACTGTATCCGATTTACTACTGGACTTGATGGGAGCTGGTAACGTGGATCCTATACGATTGTGCCAGTTGCAGGAGCAGCGGTAGGTTCATAGGTTCACGAACGATCGCGGTTGCGCACGAAGAACGAGTAGTTGCTAATCGGAGATGCAATTCCATAGGGCTGGCATTCAGAAGAAGATTCACGAAGTTGAAGAGTTGCTATCTAAACAGGTGGGACTGCTCACCTCCGTCATTTGTCATTTACCGCGAGCTCACACCTGTAAGCAGGTCATCGCAAGTTTGAACGATTCTACCCCAATGAGAGGATCGGGGATGACGGACCATCGGAATGGCAACCTTAACCGAAGCGTCACACAAACCTCACACTTCCGGAGCCAGTCATTCGCCAGCACCACCCCTTTTCCGTCAATGAACTCAAGCAACACCACCCCGTTCCCATCGACTACCTCAAGCTTCAATCCTCAACCGGACAACAATTTTCAAAAGGGCTTCACTCCACAATTGAAAGCGGGGCCTTCGTCAGGCTTTCCTCCACCAAACTCTTTAACCCGCAACGCGACATCGACGCCATCCATAAACTCCATGCCTTCCATGTCCCATTTCCCCACGCATCAACAATCCGCCCCAAGAGCAACACCACGCAATCAAGCTCAAGGTGCTCTGGCTACGCGCCCTAGCCCGTCCCATGATATTTATAGCAGACCCGAGTATCAGTTCCCATGGTCAAGGGACGTGCGGAAAGCGATGAAGCAGATCTTTAAGTTAGAGGACTTTCGCACGAATCAGGTTGAAGCGATAAACGCCACCCTCCAAGGGAAAGACTGTTTCGTTCTCATGCCGACGGGCGGTGGAAAGAGTTTATGCTACCAACTTCCTGCAGTCGTGCCCACCGGAAAGACAAACGGAATGACGCTGGTCGTATCACCGTTGCTCTCACTCATTACGGATCAAGTCCAGCAACTCAACGCGAAGGGAGTCATGGCCATCCCCTTGACCGGCACCCTCACCAACGAACAGAGAGACCGGGTGTACGCGGAGATATATGCACCAAATTCGGACGTTCGGTTGATATACGTCACCCCTGAGATGATCATGAACAGCGGAAAGTTCCAAGACCTCGTGAAACACCTCCACGAGCGCGGCAAGTTGGCAAGGCTGGTCATCGACGAAGCCCATTGTGTCAGTCAATGGGGCCACGATTTCCGACCTGACTACAAGAACCTGGGTAACTTCCGACGCCAATACCCCGGCCTGCCCGTCATGGCACTCACGGCGACCGCAAACGAGAAGGTCAAGCTGGACATCATTGACTGTCTCGGCATGCACAACTGCGCGCGGTTCGTGCAGAGTTTTAATCGAAGCAATCTCCGATATGAAGTGCGGAAGAAGGAGAAGCAGATCGTGAACGATATTTGCTCGCTTATCGAGACGTTTTATCCTGGACAATGTGGGATTATCTATTGCGGGTCTCGGAAGAATTGCGAGGATGTTACGGACAAATTGAAGGTGTGTTCCAACTGACGCGTATTGGATGTTTGAACCCCCCTGCGAATTGGCTTCTAATGAACGAGTCCCGCAGAAAAACGGAATGGACATTGATTTCTACCATGCGGGACTGGAAAAGGACGATCGGTTGCGGATACAATCAGCATGGGCGACTGGCAAGATCAAGATTATCGTGGCAACGGTGGCGTTTGGCATGGGTAAGCTTTACTGTTAAGCCCCCCATCGACCAACAGCACTACGGGCTGATCGAACAAAACCTCTCTACAGGTATCGACAAGCCTGACGTCCGCTTCGTCATCCACTACAGTCTTCCCCACAGTCTTGAGGGCTACTATCAGGTACGTATGTGCACTCATCCGGAATCCGGTACGCAACCTAACTTTGGTGCAATAGGAAACCGGGCGAGCGGGGAGGGACGGCAAGGAGTCCATGTGCATTATGTATTACTCGTACCGGGACAAGACAATGGTGTGCATAGGCGTTTTCGCCTCGTCTGATGGAGAGCCAGAACTGATGATCACTTGCGTAGATCGATACAATGATACAGAAAGGTGAAGGGAGTCATGAGCAGAAAGAGGTGTGTCGCATCGCCAACGTGAACTGTGCTTTCAAGTTGCAGACCCACTCATGCGCATTCCACACATAGCGGCAAAGGAATAATCTCCGACAAATGGTCGCCTATTGCGAGAACAAGATTGATTGCAGACGACAGCAAGTGCTAGCCGTGAGTATCGATTGGAACTACAGCCCCAGATCTCTTCCTGGCATCGCAATTGAATTGAACACATGGCACTTTTCCAGTACTTCTCCGAAAAATTCGATCGCGCCAACTGTCACAGGACTTGCGATAACTGTCGACGAAATGCGAAAGGAATCACGAAGGATGTGCGGCAGGAGACTATGGACATTATCGAACTTGGTAGGTGGTCGATATTGTGCCTAACCTGCGGCCAAATTTCCTGGTCAATAGTCGAACTCACCACTCAAATGTCCCTTTCCTTCGTGCACACCAGTCCGTTCTGTCCAAGAAGAACGCGTCACGATGAACCAGTGCATGGATATCTACCGGGGCGCGAAAACCACCAAAGTCACCAAGTTTGGACATAATGAGTTAGGACAGTACGGAAAAGGTACGTATGCCCCCACGTTTGTGTTACGTCCCCACCTCACGTTTATCCCACCAACAACGATATCTCCCTCACAGGAGCCAACCTCGGCAAAGGCGAAGTCGAACGCCTCTTCCGGTTCCTCGTCACCCACCAAATCCTCGGCGAGTACTTCAAAGTCAACGGCCAAGGCTTCACCAACGCCTACGTCGCCGTCGGCCGGCAGAGCGAGACGTACCGGTACGGCCGGGTGCCGATCCAGTTTACGTTCATGGAGGAGCAGCAGGCGCAGTTGCAGATTCAGGGTGGGGAGAGCGCGGCGTCGGCGAATGCGAGGAAGGCGACGGCGGCGAGGGCGACGAAGAATAAGAAGGCGGCGGCTGCTGCTGAGGCGAATAAGGAGTAAGAACAATATATTGGATGTTCCATCTTTCTATTTGAAGACGGTATTCTAACAACCCCTGGATTCTCCGTAGTTCAACAACATCACCACATTTCACCAAGAAAACCACAAAAACGACCAAGACAACAACCACCAGAACAAAACAAGCCAAAAACACAGCAGGTGCGAGTGCAAGCACCGGCAGTGGTGGAGGATCGCGGTTACCGTCCATGACCAGGGCTCGGAAACTGCCGTTTTGAATATCATTAGATCAGACTTGCAGTGCCTCTCGGTTTGAACCTTCACTTTTCTCCCATCATGTACATATTATACTAACGGCTTAGGGGATCAGCTTTTTGAAAAGTACAAATATACCTGTGTCAACTGTGCAATTTACTCGCCTCTCTGGCTCTATTCGTTAATTTACATATATACACCCCTCTCCACCATATTCCTACATACACATTACCTTCGCGCCTCTACAGAACCCACTACACCGCCCCATCCCCTTCCACCTTCCCCTCCGGCCCCCCCACGCCCCGGAGCACAATCCTCCCAACATCCACATCCCTCTCCACAATAACAATATTATCCCGATGCACCAGACAATCGGAATCGGCATAGCCCAACAACCCCTCAATCTCCGAACTCTTGCGCCCTTTGATCCGCGCAATTTCGGTGGAGCTGTAGTTTACGAGACCCTTTGCTATTTCTACTTCTTCTTCTCCTCCTTCTGCATCCGTGGGTGACGTTGAGGATTTGACGATCGTAACAATCCGCACACACTGCTGCGCGTTGAAATCCCCGGCCACACTGACAACCCCGACCGCAAACAACGACGAGCGTTGTCGTCGTGTGAGGGCTTGCACGGCGCCCGCGTCGATGTACAGCGTCCCCGCGACCGCGAGCGAGTGCAGGATCCACCACTTGCGGTCGTCCAACAGCGCGTGGTTGGGTCGGGGCAGGAAATGGGTTCCCGTAGTCGGCTCATGATGGTGGGTGGTGGTGTGAGTCACTGTCCCGTCCTCAGACGTCGTTGAGGTTGTTGTGGGCGGGTTGGCGCGGATCTCGTTGAGGATTTGAGGGATGAGGTGCGGCGACGACCCGAGGGTGATGATCGTCCTGCACCCCGCCGCGCTCGCCAGATCCGCCGCAATCAGCTTCGTCACCATCCCGCCCGTGCCCAGCATGCTCCCCGGCGCATCCACCCGCACGCTTCGTCGCAGCTCGGCGATATCCGTTACCAGCCGCACCGGGCGTGCGTCCGGGTTCGTGCGCGGGTTGTCGGTGTAGAGGCATTCGACGTCGGTGAGGAGGAAGAGGTACTCGGCGTGCACCATGCCCGCGGTGATGGCGGAGAGGGTGTCGTTGTCGCCGAAGCGGAGCTCGGAGGAGGAGACGGTGTCGTTTTCGTTGACGATGGGGATGACGTTGAGGGAGAGGAGCTCGCGGAAGGTGTTGCGGGCGTTGAGGTATTGGGAGCGCTGGGATATTCCCCAAATGGACATGGTAGACGTTAGATTCAGATATTCCTGGGGGCGGCCGGCTCTTCCCCCGCGCTGGTTACAACGGGGTGTATGGGTAACCTACCTCAGAAAGACAATCCCTCGTCAAAAGCACCTGCGCAATCGGCACCCCAAAATGCCCAAACAACTGATCATACATCGCCATCAGCCTCCCTTGCCCCACCGCCGCAACCGCCTGACTAACCGCCAGATGCTTCGGCCGCTTCCCAATCCCCAACCTCCTCAACCCGGTCCCCACCGCGCCGGAGGAGACAATGACGACCTTGTGCCCCGCGTCGCGGAGGGACACGACGGTCTCGACGAGGAGGGACAGGGTCGCGAGCCGCGGGTTGAAGGTGGTTTCGGAGCAGATGGAGGAGGTGCCGAGTTTTAGGACTATTGTGGGGGGGTGTGTCCCGGTTGGGGATGGTGGGACGGCATCGGGGGTGGTATCTTTGGGGCTGCCCATAATGCTTGTCGTCAGGCCCTATTGTGCGAACGGAGGGTTTGCGTATGTTGCGTACAATTCGCGGAAAGCAATTGGTGCTCGGTGGAGAACGGCAGTGCCAACAGAATGCTGGTGGAAGGGCTGAGCGATCTCTGGTTCGGAGTTTTGAACTTATTGCCAATGCTCAGTCCCGACGCTCCCGACGAGACGGACGCGCCATTCACGTTGCTCATTCGAGTCAGGGGACGGACGAACCCTCATCTCTCCCATGGGCAAGCATCAATGCCCCCCTCTCCAAACTCGACCAGGCGCCGACCTCCCGAACCTCCCAAACCATCGCCGTCATTTTGAAATAATGCTGATTAAGGGGACCTCTCACAGATTTGAACAATATACAAAGGCAAAGGAATCAAAGGCTGCTCGCTAAACGCTTGTCTTCACCCTCATGTTGAGAAAAAGACACCGAGGTTCCCCTAAATAACACGTCTAGCGAGTGGTCGATGGTCGAATCTTCCCCGGGTGTGTGTGCGAAAACCCCCCGCCTCCTCCTTTCCCCATGCTAAACAACGAAACCACACGTCACCATCTATTGCCTGCGGTTGCGGTTGTCGCGGAAGTTGGCGCCGACGACACGGTCACCGACGTTAGACTCCTGTGTGGCGAGCTGGACGCCGGAGATGTCCTCGAAGTTCAAGGCCTTGAGAAGGGCCTGCATAAAAAGAAACGAGCGTAGTGAGTTGACCATGTCGTCGAATGAAAGCGGAAAAGGTTCGCCAAGAAACGCAGTGAGGGGAGGGAGTAGTGCGCTTTGGCGCAATGTGGGCTCGCCACGCTCGCGCTTCGCTTTGCTCGCGAAAGCGTTCGCCCTGGTCGACCTCGCTGACGCTCGGTCTTTCAGACCGAATCAAAACTCGCCTGCCTCAAGCATCCCTGCACTTCCCCTCGCTCGTCGCAGTCTCCTCCCTCCGCTTGCGGCAGACGCTAACTCTCGCCCGATCAGAATCCCTACCTGAGTGTCCTTGTCAATCTCGATGGTCTCGACGGCGAGAGCAGAGACCTCAGGAACGTAGTTGTCCTTCCTCTCACGCTCCTCCTCCTGCAGCTTGAAGGAGATACCACGAACGGGACCACGCTGGATACGCTTCATCAAGTGGGTGGTGAAACCCGCAATCTTGTTGCGAAGACGCTTGGAGGCGATGATGGCGACCTCATCGGCGATCTTCTTGTTGGTTTGGAAGTCGAGGGTAAGACGAGGGTAGTACTTCTCGATGATGACCCTGGCGGCCTTCTTCACGGTCTTTGTCCTTACGCGACCTGAATTTCGTGGACAAGAGGGTCAGCGTTTGTCCCGTGGACTAATTGTGGTTCGAACCGTCTCCCGGTGTACTGAGCCCCAGCCCTAATCGCCAGTTCATTCCAAGTCCCGGCGGGCAGCATTCGCTCCTCCAGTTTCAAGAATTCAAAATGGGGGCATTGAATCACCTCCGACGATGAGCCAAAGCACCTCCATCACCTCCTGCTCTAGCTTCCCACTGCCCTTCGCCTCCAGCCGTCCCAGTGTCCAGCGTTGATAACCTCTTGCACATTCGCAAAAGGATTCCCATCGCCGACATATTCCCACGAACACAAAACATGCAGAGGTCCACCAGCAACAGCGGAACCAACGGTTCTGTGGTGATGTGCTGAATGCGGCCCATTGCCTCGTGTTCGTCTTATCGAGTATAGTTCGTCGTAATGTCGAACTAATCCCCATTCCCGTTCCCACCACTTCCGTCGACCCAAACCACCCATCCATCCATCCGATCCATCCATCCATCGACGAGCGTCTATTCGATCGATAGGTTCCCTCTGCCCCTGGCGTATGTCGTCCTGTGCGTCGTTCGCAGCCGAGAGTAGGAAAGGTACTCACCCATGGTGGCAGTGTAGCTTCGGGTTGTCTGGTCGAAAGCGTAGAGGAGGTTCTAATTGAAGGCTGCCCGAGCGACGTTCCCTATGCACCCCGAGCGAGCCGCGCGACCGACCGACAGCGAGACTGGGCTGCGCCACCGACTATTTCGCTCTCATCAGTTTGTTACCAGCTTTTCGGATCGACACCAAGATCCAGACTTGCAGACCATGACTCACGCGCCCATTTGGCCATTTGGGGAAAGTGTGCTGCGGGGCCTCTCGTCTCGTCTCTCTGGACGCAACTCCAACGCCAACAACAACCCCACCTCCCTTCCCTTGTTCTCTTTACAACAACAGATAATATCCGAGGATGAAACTCACGCTTTTTCGACTTCGGTACGTAGTTTCGGGACGGGTTAACTCTCAATAACTGCCGCCTGCCGCGGCTTCATCTTCCCAGCATCCTCGTCGCCGCCGCGTGGGTACAGGGTAGGCGCAGGTCAGGCGGATGGCTCGAAACAGCTGTTTGGGATGTTGGCGACACTGCAGAGTGAACTGGGGAGGTTGGTGAGGAGAGGTTGGCTGGCTCTTAGGCATTGGGGGATGCCAGGAGGTGAGTACCGAGCGGAGCGGAGAGAGTCGCGAGTACGACAGCGAGCGGCGGTGAATGACATCGACCGGTTGAAACTCCAATGCTTCAAATCAGCCTGGATCATGAGTGTTTTGCATGACGGGCTTGGCGTGCCGAGGGAGATGGTGTGTGTGCCGAATGATGCGGATGACGGCGGGAGGGGGGTGGATGTGCATGGCGAGGGTGCGAGTTCCGATCCAGCGTTTGAGAGTGTGAACGAGATTGGGACGTTTAGTGTGAGTTGGACGTTGGGAGCGATTTTGTTGCATGTTGCTGCCACCATACCGAGGGCGGAGGAGGAAGCGCAGGGGGTGGGGCGGGTGGCGACGACGGAAATGTTAGCTGACGCGCTCACCAGACCCCTGCCGATCCAGACTTCACATGTCTGATGAGGGCTGGAATGCACTTGGAGGCTGCAGAGTCTTTAAGAGCCCTTTTTGCCTGTCCTCCACCTGATAAAAAGAAGCGAACGCCTTGAGCGGAAACCAAAGTTGTTATGACACCCGTGAAGAGAAGGATCGTCAACGGAACCCATGCTCCACGTGGATGTAAGCCGGCAGGCATAGAGACATGCAGCAATCAACCAGATATGGATATGCTATTGATCAAAACACAAATTCTATATCTACAAAATGCCCACGGAAGAGCAATCCAGCCGGAAGTATATGGTCCAAACTTGCTTCTACTTGCTTCCAACCAGAAATCACAGTCCCTTATCTACATGGACCTCTGGATCCTGAATCCAAGCGTCTGTCCTTGGTTCTGATCGAACGTGCAGATACGACAGTGTTCATCTTCGGACATGTTGGTGTAAGCGTAGGCGACGTCGCAGACGCGCTCTGGGTCGTCTTGGTTCTGGGCCTGGGCCGCGTTTGCCTCGCAGATGGCATTGCATTGGCTGGCGCTTGCCAAGAAGCGGGTGCATTTCTGGTTCTGTTTCGCAAGATGAAAGATTAGAAATGGGGAAACTGATGCATCCCCAACGAAGTATCTTTGTTACTTACCACAACGTTAAGTCCGTTGATGTGTTCGCCAACAAAGGCAGTGCCAGGTTTGGCGGGGTTCCAGCCGGCCATGTGGAGCCTACCTCCCTCGAGCTGGACGGGAACGTCCTTGAATCCCTTAGGGTAACATCCCTGCGTGGCGGAGTTCCACACGAAGATGGCCGCAGGGATGGTGCTACCGCTGGGCGCGGTGGTCAGGATGGCGTTGGCGCAGGAGCAAGCGTCGGGGAACTTCTTGTCCCAGACGGGATGGTTGGGAAGGTCGGCGACGCCCGTCCAGTCGGTGTTTTCGCGGATGACCCAGTCGGCGGCGCAGCTGCTGTTTGAGTCGGCCCTTGCCGGGGAGGCGGGAGCAGCGTTGGCGGCAGCGCTGAGGAGAGCAGCTGAAGCGAGGACGGTTTGGAAGAGCATTTTCGATGTGTTAGAGAGTGAGAGATTGGGAATGACTCGATTGGAGATAGAACGCTTGAGATTGGCTTTGCGAGATGTTGTTGTTTGCGGGTGTCGCTGATGTTGATGATGGTGACGGGATGTCGCTGAACCTCCCTCCTTAAATAGTTGGGGAAACGGGATCTCCTTACTCTCTGATGAGGGCAGCTTGGGCAGAGGTGCAGCAGAGGCCAGCATCGCTGCCACGCCTGAACAGCCTTTGCGGCTTTCGAACAGTCGCAACAGCTATGCACCGCCCCGCGGCCCATGAGCACCCATGTGCAACGACAGCCGTCGAGCATCATACCTTTCGAGGGTTTGCAGGCGCACGCACCGCTCGTACCGGCCAGCAAATGTTTGCGAGACCATAGCGGGAAGAACTTGCATCTCGCCGCATCTCAGCCCGTCCTCATTGACATATTTATCGTACATCTACAAAACTTTTTGATGTTAAACCGTTCTTGTGGATATGCATATACGTCAATCCCAGGTCCGCGATAATCCGTGCCGCTCTGCCACTAATGTTTGCCTGAGCCCCTGCACCGCATGTACTGGAGAACGGACCGAGTGCCAATGCTGGCCTCTGCCAATGCAAAGGTACAAACTTGAAGCAACCCAGAACGCGGAAGACGCGCGATGGGCCGCATGTGGCAGTTGGCCCGCAGATGATTCGAATTTCCGACAATCTGGAAGGCAAAATAATTCGGAAGTTCAAAGGGGTCGGAGAACATTTCAATAATTTCATCGATTTTTCATGTCTAACGACGTCACAAGAGTTGGGAGGCCGCAAGTCTACGGCCAGATGCTATCTATGTATGATGCAATACGCCAGAAACACCGCCTTTCGCGGCTCTGCACTACGCTGGTGTTCGGGGTGTCCTTCGATGTGCGCCGCCGTACAATACTGTACATCACCCGCTGCACCCTATTCCCCACGAAGCCCTTTCAGCATCTCCCCGACGGTCCAAACCACCAGATTTGTGCGAGGCGACAAGAAACAATCAAAGGCGTGGTGAGCGGCCGGGATGAGTACTGTATGTACGCGGGGCTGTGAGGACGGCTTTGTGGGACGTCGTCAAACGGGAGGTCACCGCCTCTGCGCCGTTGCGTGGCGGTGGTCAAGCGGTTGACAAACTCCTCAACGGCGCGAGTCGGTACCATTGCCCGTTACCATACCCATCGGGCATGCGTTCTTCCGGACCCATTCGGCCTGATTGAACTCTGGCTTGCAGATGGTGCTCGCGAACCAGGCGGCATAGCCGTCGGGCGCATGACCGCTGGTGTTGGTCAAGTCGATTGGTGGGTAGAAAGCCATGCATGCGCTGAACCGCGTGGAAACCGCCTCGAACCCAGGTTGAAATGTGGGGTTGTTCTGAGTGAAGGCCATGATAGTTGCGAGATGTCCGCCCGAGGAACCGCCAGCGATCACTATGGAGTCTTCCTAGGAGAGTCAGTACCTGAGATGGATGACACCACTAGGTACAGGAAGACTCAGCTGACCTGGATCACCGCCATACTCCTTGATATTTGATTTGACCCATCTTAAAGCCCCAACTCCGCCATATGCCAGCAAATCGGAGTAGTCAGCCGTCGCTTATCGCCCATCGACCACCTTCCGCCGTGAATGTACATGAAGACCGGTCTGAGCTTCGAGGGTTGGTGTTGTGGACCGACAGAGGACTTCGCTTGAATGACGTCTAGTTGCACGAGTTTTTTTATGGCTTTATTGATGTCATACTCGGCTAGCTCGTCCGTAGTCATGTATAGCCATGGACTACGAGCCCCATGGGGCGCCAGGCCGGGAGCAGGGATCGGACCTGAACGAAACCCTGCATACGAAGACATCAGTAATTATAGAAGACCGTCCGGAGCACAATGCGCAATGGAGCTCTCACCTCTTCATGTAGCTGCTCATTCTGGCCTCTGTGAGTTCCTTAGCAATGGGATGCCTAGCTTCTTGCAATTTGCGAAGTTCGTCGAAAATCGAATTACGAGCAGTATAGAGGCTGCTTACAGCGGCTCCTACAAACGTCACAATGTTCACCGCCAGGACGATGCAGATCGAGAGAGTCAGAATCAGATTCTGGCTGTTCAACAGGTTCGCAAGATACGCCACGAAGGTTATGAATTATTAGATGCCAAGGCATACTACGCAGTTTTGAAGCAATTCTTGATGACCGGGGGGTTGTAGGAGATATATTGGAGTAAGACTGACGAGCCCAGGAGCAGCAGCAAGCCGCTGGACACCAAGACCGTCCCAATATCCATCTCAGAGTTGGCCTTGGCGATTTTCCTGGAGCAGCGGTCACCAAAGGCAGCACTCAGGTAGAAAACTTTGATGAGAATCTGCATAAACCTGGTTGTCTGCGCTTCAGATTGCCAGACTTACCCAGTGAGACGGGCTTCGAGACTTCGAGATGGAGATGGGATGAATGTGCTGGAAAACCGTTGACGTTACCGGTTTCCCGGGCACTTCACGGAGCCTCCGGAGACAGAACTCAGAAACTCTAATAGTTGGAGGCGTAACTTGAAGACTCTCAGAGAAACTCCGTTACTTGCACAAATAACTGTAGGATGCTATGCAGCTTTATACAGAATAAGAGAAGATGGGATGTTGGGCATCGAGTTGCGTCTATCCGCTCGGCCGCAATGCTGAGAATGGGGCCATTACCAAGTACCTCGAATTCAACTCGGTGCATGTTCGAACTTCTGAGCAACCGTCTTTCCCGATCTAAGCAGCGTTTTTTTTATCAAGCCTCACATCTTTGAAGGAAGCCGTGAGTCTTGAGCCGTCACGATACGTAGAATTGACCGACCGCGTATATGCATATTCAGCATTGACAAACGTTCCCCATTTCTTTCAAATGCGGCTCTGCAACTCTGAATGGATGGCAGGGTAAGGGATGGCACCACGTCGCGCAGCAAGCACCTTGAAGACATAATGTGATATGTATCGACGCCTTCACACGAAAGCAGGTACTGAACTTCGCACCGCTTGGGACGGAATCTCCGTGTCGGAGCCCATATCGGACAATTGAACCTCCGATGGGTCTATCCGGCAGAGGATCGAAATGAGCCAGCAATTCCCGATAATGGAATGCCGCCTTCTACTAAATTACTCCAGCACATATTAGGGGACTCTGCGAACATTCATTCGCAACACTTTGCGGAGATTTCGCTTGTTTTGGAATATATACATGTAACGGAGCTCCTCACTCGCCCCAACACGTTTCGACGGGATCTCAGTGGTACTAGAGACGTCGTCTCCAACAATTCTGTCGATGGGAGCTGAAACGGGAAATTGAATACAATCGAAGCGACATCGGGGTTTTAAAAAGAGCCGCGGAGTCCCCGACGAGAGATTGCTGCGCATGACATCACTACATGAGAAGATTCTCCCCGTGTGTTTCAATATCGGACGCGCGATGAAACTGGAGACGCGTTCGGACAGCGGAGTGAGCTCCCGTGTTGAAACGAGGAGCCTCTGCGTTTGCCACCACACAATCCGCTCTGGCATGTCCTAAGTGTATCGTATCTTTTTGGGCATAATGCCACCGCCCGAAGCGTCCCGATAAAGACATATCTGCGTTATAGTACGTATATGGGCGCCCTTTGGGGATCCGCGGACTATACCGCTATCCGCACTTTGTCCTTTAAAACGCTGCCGCACCGCTGGATTGGTTAATGGAGCATGTTGAGCGCATTCCACTATGTCGTTCGATCTCCTTGCCCACCTCCGTTTGCCCCCTAGCCCCTTTCATATGGGCACTGGGGGTGACGTTTTGCATTGCTTTGCCTTGCTTGTTGTCCGATCGGAATTAAATGGGGGCGACCGGGCGGGTGCATTATGAACGAATGCGTGCCGTTCGCAGCTTGTTTTGAGTTGAAAAGGCCGCGTGCACATCCACCCCCCCTCGCGTGCTCTCGAAACTGGCCTTGCTTGCCGCGTATCTCGAAAGACACCGAAAGCCACCGGAAAACGGGCCAGAATTAGCCCAGGCAGAGTCCAGACCCTCGCAACTTTAAACCTTCCACATCGGCTTCCACTTTTCCCACACCGCCCTTCGGTTTGCCTTCGATCCTTACCCTCATTACCGACTGGCTTCTTTTGGAAGCCTAATCGCACAACGCAGTCTACTACCTACAGCGCGTCGGACTTGGTACTCTCTTCGCTGTGCCGGAGACCGTAACAAAGCAAGCCCGGTCATTCAAAGTATCGACAACGACCAATGGCGACAAAGGACGAGATTCTCAGCTGGGCCGACGGTGTCAATGCTTACAAGAACTCCGACTGGGATGGAGCGCTCGACTCCTTTCAGGTAAGGATGGAAACGGTGGTTTTCCCGTGTGAACAACGAACAACATGCAACCCCTGAGAGAATGGTTCTAACGACTTTCCTGTTTCCAGCGTACGGGCGACTTCTCCCGAGTTCACTTCAACATGGGCATAATATATACCCGCCTGGACGACTATGAAAGTGCGTCCATGTGCTATACAAACGCTATCGGCGCAGACCCGTATCTTGCGGTGGCTTTCTTTCAAAGGGCGTACTGTGCCTACATGACCGAAGACTATCAAAGGGCTGACGGAGACTATGCCATGGCTTTGGAGGTAAGGGGAAAGATACCTGACGGAAGTTCCCAGGCAGGTGCTAACAATGATCTCTTTCCCCACTCCATCAGTTACTCCGAGAGAATGATTTTATCGACTACTCACAGCTTGGACTGAAGTACCGGCTATACCGCTGCGAGGCTCATTACAACCGTGCCATGTGCGCTCACTCCATCGGCGACGATGCTATCTGCACACAGGATGTATTGGCCGCACAGCGAGTCGCAAGAACTACTGAGCAAAAGGCGGTCATCGATCGCGCCGCCCGAGTGGGAGTCGAAACAGTGACTTTGTTCACTGTCCCTGTTGACGCCGTTTTCGAGGTTCCGGAGAGCAAGTTGAAGAATATCAACGAGAGGTCGTACCTCAAGGATGCCAAAGTGGTCATCGACAGTTCACCCGGGGCGGGAGGCGACGGCCAAGCCAACTGGGCAGGATTCGACGGTGCCCTTATTCTAAACAAAGACATCATCAACGCGCAAAGTGATGGCATGAATCGAACAGGAACGGTCGTGAGGAACGCAAGAAACGGCGTCGAAACCATGGGACGGCGACGAGCGGAAACAGACCCAAATCGGGGCTTCCCAAGCGGTGGTTCCGGGAGGTTCGACTTCAACAACGCACCCACTCTTCCCCGTCAGGATAGCCTCCGCTCCCGACGTTCGGATCCTGACGATTACATGAAAACCGAACCTCAACAGTCTTACCAAAGGCGCCAGTACAACACTGCAGAACCTGAGGCTCGACCAATACGTCGTAGCTTCGACGGCTCATACCCGGAGCAGCAGGAGATGGCGGACCAGAGGCAAAGGCCACGATTTAACAACACCCAGTACCCGACTCGAAATGGGAGTAACTACTCACAAAACTCTGTCACAATGGGACGGAACGTTGGAAATGAGTCTTACTCCGCACGGTCAGACCCACAACCACGAAAGACATCGATGCCAGAAACCTCCTACAACAACAACAACAACAACAACAACAACCAGAACATTGACTACTACCCACCTCGCAAGCTCTCTACACCAACATCTCCCGCAGACTACATGGCCGTCAACCGGTCACGAACAATGAACTCCACCCCATCACCACCCCTCTCAACACCCTCTCTCGGCCCAGGCAAAATGAAGATCAAGCTGCACAGCATCCCCAGCAACGGCGGCAACCAACGCACAGTCATGCTCCTCGTCGACGCCAACCAATTCCCCGCAATCACCTACAAGACTCTGATCACCAGGTGTCGAGACAAGTTCGGCTACCGCAACCCCACGGTATCCTACAAAGACCCCGAGGACTACAACCAGCACGGCATCTCCGTCGTCGATGACGATGATCTCAGCGTTGCAATGGAGATTTTGGACGGACGGGTTGAATTCTGGGTCTCAGATAACTGATCAACGCTGCTTTCGCAACAAGAGTTACCCGCGGCGTCGACTCTCTGGTACCCTATTTATCAACCCCAACAATTTTGCAATCCCCGGCGTAACTCCCCGACTTTCCGAAACCACCTCCCGTACTTTGTTTAGAGTCTCACCCCTATTGCACCAATCCACAGGGTTTCCGTGCTTTTGTACATATACGCCCTGTATGGTCGGCGTTTTTCCGATTTTTTGTTTCGAATGTTCCTCCCCTACACATAGAAGATGAGGCGGGTTCGCCCAATCTGTTTAACGGACGGACCCAACTTGTACATAAACTTTCTGGCCCCCCCCCCCCCGCATATTCCCTCTGATTCCTTCTTACCTTCCTACCACATCTGTGTTGTGGAACTCGTTACTTCTTATTCCCCTTCACACACACCACTCGTTTTATAGACATTCGATCGGACGGTCTGCACACACACACAACCAGCTCTCTATCTGCAGAGAAGAAAAGGGGGAGGGGTACGGTAACTATAAAAAGGAAGCTGTGGTTGAAACTGGTTGTTTACAACACTCCCTCTCAGACTGCAGATCGAATTTCAGTTGCCGTCGCAGTCGCAGTCGCCGTCGCCATTGCTCCGCATTCTGATCTCAACTTCCGCGATCGCTTGAGTCCAGCGAGGAATAGTCGCCGGGTTCGCGATTCGCTTTTCAAGTCACCTTCACGATCGCTTGAGGTGTAGCCTGGATATGGGCACTCGCAATACGCTGTCATATCGCTTTTCAAGTCATCTTCAAGATCAAGATTCCCCAGTCTGTCCGCAATCGCTTGGGGCAGCCCGGAATAGGGGCAGTCTCGCGGTACGCTCTCTCAACTTCCGCAATCGCTTCGCTGTCATAGTCGCTTCACCAACGGACACTAGCAATAGCAATAGGTCTATGATACAGAAATTGTTTCCGCTCTCACCAATTTACAATGTTATTGCTCTGATGTTCTTTGAGGAAAAATCTAAGGTTCCACAATCAACCCCAGAAGCTACCCTCGCTGCCCAGCTAGCTGCCCTGGAAGCCAGCCTGGAAGCTGCCCCACATCCTTTACACGCGTGTAAAAAACGTGGGGATCCCCACTCTACTCCTTCAACCCCATAACACAGCCATCATGGCAATCACCTGCATACACATCATCTCTAGCGGGCACGCAAAAGGCACAGCATGTCATCACACCAGGCGCTCCAGGGGCACCTGTGGTGTGGCATCTTTACTGGAGCAACCACACCACGGCGGAAGAGGAGGAAGGTTACTCCAGTTACCCCGCGGTTGCCCATACGTCTGCCGACCGCTGTGCAGACACCATTGCAATCACCCCCGCGATTTGAGTTCCCACCGTCTGTCCATCGCCACTTGCCCGAAGCAATTGCAGACATGGTCAGCGAGAATTCCGGCGATGACGACGGGCAGCACCAGCAGCGAGGGCTTTCACCTGTGGAAAGGGGTCTGCAAGGTCCGTTGAACCTCCCCGCTCCTATCCCTTTCCCTTTTCCCAGCACACCGGGTGGATCCCTGGTGCTTGAACCCCCGCCTCCACCACCAATTCAACGACCCCGCCCGCAGACGCATGCCAGCACGAAGGTTTCCCTTCACCGAGTCCGTAATCACAATCAAGTGCAAAGGGAGCCCCTGACAACCTTCCTCGGCAATGTTCACGTCCTTGTGCGCCACACCACGTTCTTTCTCAAGTACTACCTTGGTGAGTTTTTGAGGTACACTGTATATTTCCCATAATATTTCCCATAACAATGTCCTGACTGCTACATCTGCCCACCCCACCACAGCTGATCATCCTCTACACGATTTCCCGGACATCACCGACAAGCACATCAGTGTGATGTTTGAGCTGCTCAACAATCCAGGCTACAACGGCAATCCGGTCATCGCGCAAGAGTTGCGTCCACGGGTTCAAGAGTACTGTAATGTTCACGGATTTGCCCCCATCCGCATGCGAAATAGCCAACAGACCGCAGCGTACACCGCTCAGAGCATCTTCACCAACCTCAAAGTCAACGTATAGGAGCATTTTATGCAAATGTTTCTGCGCTATGTCAATGAACGGCTTGGTTTGAAGCAAGTTGTACTGCATCTCCGGAGAGCGCAGCGGCAACACTATTATCGTTGTGTCCGCCAATTCACAAAGTACGCGACATTTGAAGAGTACCCAACGGAAGAGGAGCTTGCCGGCCTCACACGACTTGAGCGGACTCTCCTCGACGAGTTATGGGCTCTGTTTCCTCCCCAGGATGAGCCGCTTGCGTACAGCCTTGCGGTGGACGCAATGCCATATTTAGGTGAGTCAGCATATTTCCGCCCCCCCCCCCCCCCCCTCGGCTTCCTCTTTTGTCTAATCATGGTTCACACCTGCCTCTCCACAGGTGCCTATTGTGAGCTCTCACGCCTCTATGAGCGCCGTGGAATGCAGCTGTTTTCCGCTATCCCGCTGCGCAAATCTCGAATCCAGTCATCTGTTCGGATCGACACGCTGATCCTAGGCACTCATATCCTGGATATCGGCCAACGTCGCATGGGGAAACTCACTGATGAACGCAAGCAGGAGCTGTGGGGGCAGTTCCTCAATGTGAATGTAAGTTAAGTCTGTCCCCTTCTGTGCTTGATTCAATCAGATTGCGTCGCTGAATGACGGATTGTAGGACAAGGTCTTCAAACATCGAAAGAAGCTTGGTCTCAAGTTCGATGGGTCAATTAGCACCGACGGGTATTCCGCTACCATCCACTTCAAGAAGCCAGGGCTCAAGTACGGCCATCGCGCCCGGAAGCGCAGCAAAGCCCAAATGCAGGAAGAAGTCAAACAGCTGTATTTTGAGCACCACATTGACGACTTAAGGGAGGCTTCAAACATCGTCTGCATTGATCCGGGCAAGCGTGACCTCCTATTCTGTTGAGACAACAAGAAGGAGCGGCCATTTCGGTAAGTTTCAGTTGATTACTACTGCCCTGCTGTCCCCACCATCCCCCCCCCCCCCCCCAACCCTCGATTTTGCGGAAGATGGTGCGGAGGTGTTTGTGGACGTTGACTTGGAAGGGGTGGTTCCCCTGTTTGCGGACACGGGCAACGAAGTCGGTCCAGACGGCGTTGGCGGCTTCCGCAGCAGCCATGTTGGCAACGAGGGCCTCGGTGGCGCTGATCATGTTGTAGCAATTGCCACCGTTGCGGATCTGGGCAAGGAGTTTGTTGATGGAGTTGGACGATGACAGAGCCATCTACAGGGATGCCGCCCGCCGATGACGGAGGGTTGAAGGTCTTGGCAAGGCTGTTCGCAAGGGTGGCGATGGCTTCATTGTAGACAGCGGTGTCGCCGGCCATGTTGAATGGGAGTTCGGCAAAGCTGACTGAGAAGCGTTTGCGGATGAGGGAGCGGACGCTGTTGGTTTGCTCGTTGCGCGTCATATCCACCTCTTCCCTGCTCGTCGCGTGGCCCATGTTGATGACCTGCATGATGGTGTCAAGGCCAGCCCTGTCCTCGTCCCCGTCCCCATCTTCCCCCCCCCCCCCCCCCCCCCTCACCGTCCCCACCATCTGTTGCCGCGTCCTCACAATGCACCACCCCATATCAGATACACATCCAATCAACGGGCGTTCGAGACAAAGTCTCGGTACTTTCAAAGAGACATGACAGAGCGAAAGATCAATGCCGGCGTTGCTGAGATGGAATCACATATTCCGTCGCACAAGAGCATGAACATCGAGGCGCTCTCAGCGTTCATTGTGGATTACGAACATGCGGGTATGATGTTCTACTTCAACTTTGATTTTCAAATTTGGTAATACAGGGGCTGACATCCATATCCCAGATCCAGCCCTGGATGAGTTTTACCAGGATGAGATTCACGTAGCTCGCAGATTCAAGGCGTTCTCACTGCGGCAAAAGTCTGAGAGCAAGCTCATCAAGAACATGCGACGCCTGTATGGAAAGCATTTTGAGGTCATCTTGGGTGATTGGAGCGACGCTGGAAAAACCATGCGCTTTCAGGAGTCATCAAAGACCAAGGGGTGAGTGACTATCATTGGTAGTAGCTACGATGTATTATAATATGCTAACTCATCATGGAAATCAGATTCCGCACACTCTTTGCGAGAAACAGCATTCCATGCTACTTGCCGGATGAGCATCGAATGTCCTCCGTGTGCCCAGACTGCCACGGCCGTGTGAAGAAAAACATCCGACAGCGGCTGTCATCTCGGCCATGGCAAGCTAGAAAGGGAAGAATGGAATATATCCATGGATTGGTGGGTTGCCCCAACCCCGAATGTATCAACCAAGACTGGACACCATTTGAGATTCCTGGAAGACGACCACTACGGATGAAAGTGCACAATCGGGACATCCTAAGCACCAAGAATTTCCTCTTGATTGTGCGTTTGGTGGTGTTTGGCAATGGCCGCAGACCAGACGCATTCTCCCGTAACCGGTAGTCTCGAATTTTCACCCCATTCCATTTTCCGTGGTGGTTATCTGCCATCCACATCATTGTACCTCTGCTGGAGGCGTCGCCGATGATGGCAACTTGTAAAGTTTCTGTAGATATCTGTAAGGAAAATTGTTTCCTCCACCCCGCTTTGACCGTTTTCCACAAGTCGGAAAAGAAACACTTTGCGTCACAGTTCTGTTGAAGGCATCACGTTCATGTGAAATGTACAGTATACACAAAAATTTCCAGCCCCGACAACAAACGAACCCTTCCACACACACCAACCCAGTCCCCCCCTACCGCCGATAATAATGCCTCTTAAAATGGAACCAAAGCTGCAACACGCCCCGATCAAAACTGCTCCTAAACCCCTTCTTATGGCTATACTCCCACTCCCGATTCACAATCTTGAACGCGATATCCTCGTACGGCGGCCCGGCTTTGAACCGCAGGATGATGGTGTCGTCTTGCGCTTTGCTGTTGGTTGGGTCGGTTGGGTCTACCGCCGTGGAGGTTGAGGTGGGGTCTTTTTCGCGGACGTAGGTTGGGGCGATGGATTTGTCGATTAGGTCCGGGTAGAAGATGTTGAATTTGTAGCCTTGGACGACCTGTTTAGTGGATCTTGTTAGTGGGGTGTGGTCGGGTGGGGGGTGGGTGGGTTCTCTAAGGATGAATAGGGAGAGCCTTACCTTGGGAGGAGGGTTATCGCCATCATAATGCGTCTGGTTATACTTATTCCACTCGTATCCTGTATGCACACGGTTAAAGTAGCGCGGTTTACGTGGACGGTACTTATCCTGCCACAGGTACGTATCCTACAAAAGCCATAGAGTCAACACCAATGCCAGGCGGTAAGTCAGTCGATATTGTAGTTACCTGCGACGCGGAAATGACAACAGCCTCCTCGTTGAACGCGGCCTCGTCCATGCCCATGTTCTCGGCCGCGTCGCGGATGAAGGCCTTCTCGGCAACGTCTTCCATGGATTGGTTGGCGCCGACAAGGGCGAGGGCTTGGTGGGCGGGCGGGCCACCGAGGGCTTTTGTGACTTTTTCTCGGAGTGCAATCTAAAGGAAGGAAGGGGGAGTATCAGTTTCTGGAACATACGGATATTCGTGACGACAGTATAGCCGCAACCCACCAACTGCCTCAAATCCTCCTCCTCATCCACAACCTCAAACCCGGCATCCGCCTTGGGTATCCTCCCACACACCACGGGCCCCATACTCTCCTCATATTCTTCCACCTCCCCATCACTCTCCTCCTCCTCCTCCCTACCGCCCACGTCCACATCCATCTCATCCTCCTCCACATCCGCCCGCCCACTGCGCACATGCTGCACAAGGATCCGCGGTTGTTGTGAAGCGCCAGAGTCCTGATTGAGCGCGCGCTGCTCACGGAGTCGGTCGAGACGTTTGCTGAGGAGGAAGGAATGCATGTCGCGGAGTTTCGCTTTGGCTTTCCAGACTACTAGGGCTTTGATCGCTGCTTCCCAGTAGTCCACGTCAACAGGCGGTGCGGGTTCACTCATAGACGATGCGCCGGTGAGAGCAGCAGCAGCGGCCCCCGCGGCAGCCAACTTTTTCTCAATCTGCGTTTGGAGGATGCTGAGCTGGTCGTAGGTTTTGTTGGAGAACATCCGCTCGATGTCCTGCGTTACGGCTTTGCTGACGCCTGAAGAGCGCCCGCCGGAGGAGAGATCTTCGCGGTGTCGGCTGAGCTCGTCGTCGCAGACGACGATCATAGCCTCCCAGAAGCGTTTGTTGGTGTGGTCGGTTTCCAGGGAGAGGTACAGCTGAATATCCTTATGCAGCTCCTCGACTTCTGGGAGGGAGAGGTTACGGAAGATGAGGTAGGGCTCCTCAACGCCCATTTCCAACCCCAGGGCGTCAAACTCCTCCGCCAGTTTCGTGTCGCTCGCCAAACTGAGATTCATAGCGAGGATATCAATCGGCTTAGCCCGCCCCTCCTTGATCCTGATCTGCGCCCTTGTCTTCGCCTGACCCAAATGAAACTCATTCTCTTTCGCCTCCCAATCCCCCAACGCCAGTCGGTCCTGCTCCCGCTGCAGCCGCGCCTGCTCCTCCTCTCTCAACTGCATCTCGATCTCGCGCTCGTTACGTCTGCGTTTCAGTTTGGATAGCTCGTCCTCAACTTCTTCGCGGCGTGACATGTCCCGCCTGGCGCGCTCGGCAGCCGATAACCCGCTCTTACTCTCCTTCTCGCGTTTCTTCAGCCATAAAAACTTATTCGACAGGTTACTGTCCCCGAACGGGTTCTCGGTGTTGGAGTAACCCAACGAAGCAGACATCTGCGCAGCGAGCTGGGACTCCTTCTGAGCCTGGATCTCGTCCTTCAGCTGCTGTTTCTCGAGTTTGCGCTCGGCTTTGCGGATTTTCTTCTCGACGGAGGTTTCCCGTTGCTTTTTGGGCTTTTTTGAACTGCTTTTGGATTTGCTGCCGCTTCGGCTCCCACTGCGGTCGTCACGCTTTTCGGCTTTGCTAGTTCGCTTCCGCTTCCGAGACCGGTCATGCTCGGAATCAGACGAAACTGAACCGCTGTCGCTGCCCCGTCCACGCTCATCACCCCCTCGTCGCCGCCTCCCACCCCCATCCTCACTAACCACCGGACTACGATTCCTACTCCCCCTGTGATCCCGGCTATCATCCCGCCTCCTCCGCACACGATCATCCTCCACCGAGCGATCCCGCCCCCGTCGCCGGTCATCATCCCAATCCCGATCCCAATCCCGACTTTTGTCGTCCCTCCGGTCCCTGCGTAAGGTCTCTGAATCTCCCCGCCGCGGTAAGCTCGTGGACCTGCTTCGGTCGCGGTGGGATTTGTAGCGGTCGCCCATTGGGTGTGATAGGGTGTAAGCGGAAACTGGGGGCGAAAGTTACTCGACCGGCGAAATGTAAGGTCCGTGAGGGAGTCGGTTCAGGCACGAAAACTAGCCGCTGGAAGCGAAATACATGGTCTTTTGCAGGTTGCGATCGTCGATGAGTTGGGCAAGTTTGCGAGTTGGGCAAGTTTGCGAGTTGATAGTTAGGGCTTTCCTCAGCGAATTAAAGTTTTATAAGGTGCCATGTGACATATGTTCGTTTATTTACTGGACTTCTTCCCATCTGGCAGTGGGAACTTCTAACAGAGAGAGCTGGGACCTCCCATTCCCCTCCAATTTGCAAAAGTCCGACGGTCACGTCGCAAATTTTTCTATACAAAAAGCGAGGGTCCATCTATATAAACAAAAGTCTGTCTCATCAATTCGGCGTCCCACCCGCCTGCAACCGATAGATAACCAACACAACCCCCCTACTCTCCACCCTCGGCCCCAGCTCTACCTTAACTACCTTATCATCATCACATCTATACCACTGCGGCAGTCCCCTCAACCTCGTATACGTCAGAAAATGTCCCTCGGTCTGCGTGACGAAGCCGTGCAGTCTATAAAACGTCTTTTGGTCGGATTGGCGGTTGGAGAGGTAGAACCCGAGATCGACTTCGGTAGGGAGTTCTACGGGGGTGTTGTGGTAGGTTTGGGGGGTGGTGGGGTCGAGTGGGCGTTGAAAGTAGATGGTGAAGAAGTGGGGAAGGACGGTGATGCGGGTTTGGGTTTTGCGAGGGGGTGGGCGGGGTGTTGGAGGTGTGAGGGGGCGGCCGGTGGGTGGGTGGAAGGAAGAATGGGAGGAGGGCGACGAGGTGGAGGAGGATGAGGTCGGTGGGGTGGGGAGTTGAGATTTCATGAGTGAGCGGTTGTTGAAGGCGCCCCCAAAGAAGAACGTCGCGACCGCGTGGCCCAGGTGGTCGTTTAGCAACGAGAGCAGGGTCACGCAGTCGTTGCGGGAATACTGGGCGAGCGATATCTTGAGGAACTTTGCAGTTTCGTGGTTCGATTTCGCTCGCTTGCTTCCATTCTGTGTTGTCCCGTTCTCCTTAGCTCCCTCCGTGGTCCCGTTCTCCACACCTTCCTCGTGGGTAGAATCACCATCGGTATCCACATGCGCATTCCGATCGCCCACCCTTCCCGCCCTTTCCGGGACACAATCCGGATGTGGCCCGTGCACCAACCCAATCTGAAACCGCTGCCCGAATCTCGTCAACAGCAACACATCATCAAACAACGTGCTCAAAATCGAGTCCACGCTCTCATGAGGCAGCGTATGTCTCGCATCAGGGCTATCATCATGCGGAACCCGAGATGCGCTCCTCCACCATTCCAACTCCAGCGAATCGGCCGATGCCACGCGTGGCGAGGGCACGTCGTCGGAAACGGGGTTCCCGTGTAATTGGAGCACAGTGCACACAAAATCGGATACTGCGGCGTAGGGCGATGCGACGGGTAGCTCTTCGTTCAGATCAGGTAGGGTAGTGAAGGCTTGTAGGAGGGCGTTTAGAGCTGACCGGGGTTTGGAGTTGTGCGGGTTCGGGAGGCCCTGCAGGAAGCTTTGCGAAATAAAGCGGCAGTGAGAAGATGCGCTGAATGAGTGAATTCTGACGACTTGACTCACTCATTCGGAGGATAGCTAATACACGGCTCATTCAGTTTCTCTTCCTGAGGTGGATATACAATTACTGTAGGGAGGGGACGACGCCAGGAGCGTGAGAAAGGGGTTCCGTCTATTGCATTTTCCCACGACCCCGACGCGCAAAAAAAAAGGCTGGCACGTAACAAACCACATACCTTGTGGGTTCATCACCTTGAGATTCACCATGGTGATAGTGCGATAGGAGAGGATATCAGCCAACTGCTTCAGAAACTGGGTGGGATGTTGGAAGAGGTCAGGGCGCGATTGAACAGGATGTGGGTGGCTTGCAAGCGGGTTGCTCCTGAAGACGGGCGATCGTTCTGTACGTGGGCGAGGGCCCGGTGGTCGGCGGCTGAGGGTAGCTCGGTATCTTTCCTCGTCGCTGATTGCTACCCCTGGTTGTTGTCTGTGGGAACAGGGACGGATGGTGGAGTGTTGTTGAGGCGAAGCTTGCCCTAAGTCGAGAAGGCTTCAAGACCAAGGCTATGGGCAACAAAAGGGACGTGACGGCTTGGTTGTGGCCATTAGATGTTACAAGTTGCCATCATCGGCGACGCCTCAGGCAGAGGTACAATGATGTGGATGGCCGATAACCACCACGGAAAATGGAATGGGGTGAAAATTCTAGACTACCGGTTACGGGAGAATGCGTCTGGTCTGCGGCCATTGCCAAACACCACCGAACGCACAATCAAGAGGAAATTCTTGGTGCTTAGGATGTCCCGATTGTGCACTTTCATCCGTAGTGGTCGTCTTCCAGGAATCTCAAATGGTGTCCAGTCTTGGTTGATACATTCGGGGTTGGGGCAACCCACCAATCCATGGATATATTCCATTCTTCCCTTTCTAGCTTGCCATGGCCGAGATGACAGCCGCTGTCGGATGTTTTTCTTCACACGGCCGTGGCAGTCTGGGCACACGGAGGACATTCGATGCTCATCTAGCAAGTAGCATGGAATGCTGTTTCTTGCAAAGAGTGTGCGGAATCTGATTTCCATGATGAGTTAGCATATTATAATACATCGTAAGTACTACCAATGATAGTCACTCACCCCTTGGTCTTTGATGACTCCTGAAAGCGCATGGTTTTTCCAGCGTCGCTCCAATCACCCAAGATGACCTCAAAATGCTTTCCATACAGGCGTCGCATGTTCTTGATGAGCTTGCTCTCAGACTTTTGCCGCAGTGAGAACGCCTTGAATCTGCGAGCTACGTGAATCTCATCCTGGTAAAACTCATCCAGGGCTGGATCTGGGATATGGATGTCAGCCCCTGTATTACCAAATTTGAAAATCAAAGTTGAAGTAGAACATCATACCCGCATGTTCGTAATCCACAATGAACGCTGAGAGCGCCGCGATGTTCATGCTCTTGTGCGACGGAATATGTGATTCCATCTCAGCAACGCCGGCATTGATCTTTCGCTCTGTCATGTCTCTTTGAAAGTACCGAGACTTTGTCTCGAACGCCCGTTGATTGGATGTGTATCTGATATGGGGTGGTGCATTGTGAGGACGCTGCAACGGAAAGTCTCGCCGCTTTTATCGCAGACGCTGCAACTACTCCGCCAAGCAAGCCAGGAAGGATGGCTACCCAATGTGGAAGGATCGCGGCGAAAGCAAGTAGAAGGTATCGGTGGCGACAAGTAGCCATACATGGAAAGGCGAGTCACACATCCCACATTATAAAGCAAGCAAAACACTGAACTCAACCGCATCGCCGACAAGACCTCATCCCTGATATTCTCCCCCCTTACAAGCTGTCGGCGGAGATGCGGTCGGTGGCCAGAGGGGTATGGCAGGTTACGTAGCGGGTGGTAGTAGCGGGGACGATGTCGACGGAATCATTGGAACTTTCCTTGCCAGAGCTGGTGGGGGGAAGAGGACGACCAGGAGAAAGACGCTGGAGCGGGACGTCGTCCATTGAAGGGATGGGACATGGCAATATGAAGGTACTCGGCGAGTGAGGCTTTGGAGACGGAAGTGATGGACAGGGGAGAGTGGGGCGAGCAACCATGCCGTCCGTTCATATCATACAGTATCATCCCGCGAGCCCTCCTGCCCGCAACGGTTCGATGACATGGACGCAATGAACTTAACTAGCCGAGCTCAACTGCCCCCCCACCAATCGCCTCCCAGCCCTCGGTACATTGCGTACATATACCGGCTTGCCTCGTCTGCAAGAAGGTGAGAGTACGTACAGTATGTGACTATATGTCTGCGACCACCCGTGACTTCCAGGTCGGGAAAAGCACCATGGATACATTGCAATTCAGGAGCGGGTCAGCATTACCGCAGTCAAGTGAACCGTGAAAGTCTTTCAAAACGACGACCCCAGCGATCCCAACTCCTACCAGTCCAAGAAAAAACCAGGAAGACCTGCTAAGTGGCAACCTTCACCGCCTGAAATTGAGCAACTTCAGCAGCTTGTCATGGCTGACAACGAGACCAGGAGGAAATCACTCGCAGTTCTTACAATTGAATTCACAGCTCTCTTCCGTATCAATGTTTACAAAAAGACGGTGCGACAGTATCTCCGAAAACACTTGGACCTCCATTCGCGGTACAAAATTCGGAAACCAATGTTAACTGATTGGCATCGGGCTGCGAGACTTGCGTTTGCATTGGAGCATCAGAATTGGACGTACGCTGACTGGTCACGGGTGGTTTGGACTGACGAAACATCGTTTGAAATTGGGTGGGTCCCTAAAATGCGATGCTGGCGCCTTCGGACTGAAGCTCTCCATCCCGATTGCGTACAGGTCACACAGAGGAGCAGCCGTAAAACATTCATGTATTGGGGAGCCTTCATAGGGAATGCCATTGGCCCAATGAACGAGGTGGAGCGAGTTCAGCGTCCTGGCGAAAACCGTAGAGGTATCAACTCAACTGCTTATGTTGCACACTTGACAACTCACATGTTGCCCTTGTGGCATAATCTTGAGATTTTTATCCCCAATCTGATTTTCATGCAGGACAACGCACCTATCCACACCAGCGCTGAAACCTGACAATTCTTCAACAAACACGGCATTGAGGTTATGCCCTGGCCTGCTCAAAGTCCCGACCTCAACCCAATTGAGAACCTCTGGGTGATGATGAAGCGGGAGGTCTCGGCAGCCAATGCAACGGCAACGACAGTAGATGAGGTAGTGAAGAACCTTTGGCCAACGATGGGTAGGTATCTGGACAATTTAGTTAGATCCATGCCAAGGAGAATGGCTGCGGTGATAGCTGCCAACGGGGGAAGCACAAAGTATTAGGAGACTGATGCCGTGCCGTGGTTTAGGATGATTGTGGTATCCACAACTCACTTTGACTGGGCAGAAATCAACATTGCGGCGACCATCGAAGCCGTCAACTTAATGGCAGCGCGCAATGGACACTGACTTAATCACGTGAGGTCGCAGACATATAGTCACATACTGTACTGTACAGTATGAAAAAAGAGTGAGGTCGCACACACGCGCACACGACGGAACCAACCCGCTCCACCCCGTCTTTCCGGCCCCCGAGGAACATGTGCAAGTCTGGCGAAACAAAACACTTGGCGACCCCTTGTTGGAGGTATAATCCCCCCGAGTCCCCGGTTAGGGTTGTAACGTCAGAGGAAACGTAGACGATACTGGGCCCTTCCGAGAGGGCTGAGAGCAGTGTATTGTAGTGAAGAAAAAAGTAAGAAGTTCTTTGCAGCGGCCGCTCGACTGACAGCTTTATATATGGGCTGCCAGTGGGGCTTGCGTGGCTTCAGTGAGGCTTGACGCCTTATGTAATGTATCACCGAGAGCTCGGGTGGCCAGCCAGGGTCTCGGATCAAGTAGAAGTAAAGAAAAATAATATGAAATACAAGTGAAGATGAGATATCCTTGACACTTCCCTCAGATCCTGAGGAGGGCGCCGAATAAATAAGAGGTGAACTACGAGGGATATGTGAAGAAAGGGAGAGCTCATGTTCATTTTAAAGTGTTGACGCACTTGTTCATTTTATAGCGTTGACGCACTGTGTGATGTGTGTGTTTGAGGCAAAGGCGTCCCTAAGCCGACGTCGTGTGTGATGTGTGTGTATAAGGTCGGTTCTTGCGTCGCCGAGCGTGATGTGATGTAGTTTACGTTGCTTTTGTCAGCAGTGTGATTGATAGTGAGCGGTTCTTGCGGCGTCGTGCGTGTGATGTGATATGAGATGCTCTATGCTGTTCGTCTCCGTATCCACAAAGATTGTGGATGAGCTTTTCACCATCGTTTGTAGGCAGGCGTGCAGCGAAGTGCGGATTTGGGTTCCCAAGTAGGGTCGGGATAACCGAGCCCTTTGACTAGAAGATTTCGTACGGCGCGTCGCTCGTCGATGATATCTTCTACAACCCATTCAGGTTGTCCGCGTTCTTCGATTGGCGGATGAGGTTGTGGAACTGCACATTGCGGATATTGCTCTTCGCGATGTGGTCGTAAAATATCGACGTGAAAGATGGGCCAGATGCCGCTGATCTTTGATGGTGATAAATCGAGTTTGTAGGTATCAGGATGTGCTCCCAGTGCGATGACTTTGAATGGTCCGATCCACGTAGCTGAGTATCGAAGTGCTCTTTGAGCATCTACTTCTAGGTTGATTCCTTGTCGATTTAGATCGACGAGGTCGCCAATTTTGTATGCAATTGGCGTTCGACCTTTGTCGTGTTGATGTGCAAATTGGTCTTGCGATCTCTGAAGTTTTTTGAGTACAATGCGGGCGATGTCTTCCTGCCCTTTCTTGAAGAGTTCGATTTCATTCCAATCAACAGCTCGAAGTTTGAGTTCTTGTCCTTCGAGAGTGGGATTCCAACCCGGGAGGATTGGAGAGCGTCCGAGATCTACTTCGAATGGCGATAAACCTTCATATTCCTCCCTCGGAGCAGTGTTGTATGCGAATTCGATTAAAGGCAATAGTTTCTTCCAATTGCTTTTGTCATAGTTGGGATATTGCTTCCAAATCCTTTTCAGGGTTTGGATGGCTTGCTCAACTTTGCCGTCGGTTTGATGATGACGAGCCGTAGCGAATTCGTGTTTTACACCGAGGAGAATATGGAATGCAAGGAAGAAGTCAGAAAGTGCGCCAGGTTCGCGATCCGTAAAGAAGACTTTTGGCGTACCGACATGTTTCCAAACATGATCTAGAAAGACTTGGGCTAGTTTGCGTCCAGTGATTGTCTTCTTGATCGGTGTCAGAACCACACGTCCGGAAAGATAATCAATGCAGACGAGACAAGAGTTTGTTTCATCTACTTTGAAAATGTTGAATCCGATCGTGTGCCATCTTCCAAAAGGTATAGGAAGAGGTCGAAGAAATCCGTATCGACGCTGACCAGGTTTGAATTGTCAACAGGATTTACAAGTTCCTGTTGGAGGTATCATCCTCCGGAGTCTCCGGTTAGGGTTCTGGTAGTTTATTTCCTCACGTGACTCCCCTCCCGCTTACGCCACGCTTCCGCGTACGGGACTTCACTCTTTTCTTCCCTTTCGGACCTCGCGTCCTCTTTCTACTTCAGACTTCACTGTATTCCTTCTTATACATAACAAGAGCCCAGTCTCACCATTAGATAGAGTTCGCTCAGTCATCTGCTTCCTCTGCCGACTACTGCTAAGTGGTTATGAGCCCTGGCTTCGCCCGCAACTAGCGGACGTTCCAGGAT